TGGGACTCAACCACCGACACTTCCCAGGCGAGATGTAGATGTCCATGTGACATCTTCGTGTCTTTGCCTGACACCCAGCCCTCAGGAACACGGAAGCCGTTTGTGGACACGAGTGGTGGCATATCAGCGTGTACATTACCATATCTGCTTGGTGAAGCAAGCCACGTGCTGTGCCACGTGTCAGCATTGTCCCGTGCACGCACAACACTGCCCAGTACATGGAGCCACAAAGTCCCTACTGCCAGAGGGGTCGCCATCATGACATAACACAGAGTGCCACTTGGGTGTGGGCAGCGACTGCCTGGCCAGTCCCATGGCAGAGATGTCGGCTGACAACACCTTTCTCAGAAGGTGGCCCAGTCCTTCAGCCCTGTGTAACTGCATTTACCCAGCCATGACACCAACAACAGGTGCTGGCCGTGTGGTCGGGCATGGCTGGTGTTGGACAGCAAGGAGCTGCATGCTGCTCAGCCGGGCATGCGCCCTTCCTGGGAGCAGAGATGTTACTGACGTCACGTGCCTTTGGAGATTTCTGGAGGTCGAGTCTGGTTATTGCAGAAATGACAGAGGCAAGATTTTGTGACAGGCAGAATTAGCATGGCCCCCATCCATCCAGGGGCTCTGGCAAAGCGACCGGAATGAGCCATGTTAGGGCCCCAGCTCCCTAACTCCTAAAGCCTGCCCAGTCCTGGCACCCTGGCACGTACCTCTGTGGTAGCCAGGAGGTGCCCATTCTCCTTTGGCAAGGAGAGTGGCGAACAGGAACATTCACACCTTGGCCTGAGCAATACGGTGCTGAGCATCTGTTACCCTGCCATGAAGCCCAGCCCCGGGCATGCTGCTGTCCCCACGGAGGCACACGTGTCACCAGCACCTCACTTTTTTGGGCTGACAGGGGTGACCCACACAAGTGGCTCAAAACTCAGAAATGGGCTGGTGTTACAGTGCAGCACGTTAAGCTGCTGCCTGAGATGCCAGTGTACCATATCAGAGTGCTGGCCCTAGTTCCAGCTACCCTCCTTCTTATCCCGCTCCCTGGTAATACGCCTGGGAAAGCAGTGAGGAGGACCCATGTGGGAGGCCTGTTCTGAGCTCCAGGCTCCTGGCTCCAGCCTGGACAAGCCCTGGCCACAGGTGACAGGTGAGAAGCAAACCAGTATATGGAACATCTCTCTGTCTTGCCCCCTAATTCTTTCAAATAATTTTAAAACTATCCACTCAGAAACTTCTCAGGGAAGAGAGAAGCAACAAGTGCAGATTCAGGTGAGTCACAGGTGGTTTGTGTTGTGTGGGCGCAGTGCTGCTACAGTGGGGACTTCCGGGGCCAGGGCAGTGGGTCAGCAGCAGGAGCCTGCCTTTGCCAAGACAGGGCAGAGTATAAACCAAAGGTCATGGCCTCAACGCCACCCACTCTAGCAGCCAGAAGGCTTAGGCCACTGAGCACCTCCCTGCCCTGCCCCCCATAGCTCTTAAGTCTTCCTTTCCACACTGCCTCACCAGCCTTGAAACAGGTGCTGGAGGCCCCCAAGGCAGGTGTGGCTTGGCCAATGTCACACGGTAAGTAGTAGAGCCTCCTCCAGGTCCCCCACACGAATGCAGGGTCCCAAGGCTTTGGGCCATCCTGCACTGCTTTCCCAGGCCACAGGCAGGGAGCCAGAGGGCAACTGGAGCAGCCAGGATCCAAACTTGTGCCCATAGGAGATCCCAGCGTGTGCAAGATGAGGATTTAGCCACAAGCCACAGCACTGGGCCCTCGTACTGCTTTTCTAGCACAACAGGGCTGCTGCCTGACACTTCCCTAGGCTGCCCCGGCTTTGGCCCTGCGCCCTGCACCTGGCTTCTGGAGGAGGGAGTTTTGCAGTTGTCCCACCCCTGGAGGAATGCTCTGGCCTGTCCCTGCACTGGCCTAACCAGTGAGCCCTCTCCCCTGACCCCAGAGTGGGGTCTGGGAAGGAGAGGACAGCCTCCAAGGCTAAGTCACAGTCCCACATGTCCCAAGGGCCCAGTGAGACAAGTCCCTGACCTCAAGGAAACCCCCGTTACTGGGGCTCGGAGGCGATCAGGGTAAGTACCTGCCAGGTACGCCAGGAGGATGCCCGTGACGACCATCAGCTGCACGCAGGAGCCCAGCAGCCCACGCACTGCTGGGTAGGCAATTTCTGAGATGTACACCTGAGGGCGGGTGTAGCGGCAAGTCACCGCAGGTCCCAGCGAGGCCGCGGGTCAGCTACCCCTTACTGAGGTGGACGTGTCCCATCCCTGTCACCCCTGAGTGCAGGGCCAGGAGCAGGTGGGGGTGGAAGTCGGAGGTTTTGTGTTTTTGCGTCCCCCCCTCACACCCGGGGGCACACCCTCCTAGTCACAGGTATGTGGTGTTAGAGCGCAGGCAAGGGCCGGGTGATCTAGGGGCAAGGTCAGGGGCAGCAGCAGCTAGGGTGGTGACCAGGCAGGGGCTGCCGACACCACCGAGGACAGAGGAGGGCAGGGGGCCGGCCCTGGGTTCTGGGATTCAGGAATCACTTCCCAGGGCCTAGCTGAGGGTTGGGGAGATGAGGCGGCAACCGCAGGCTGGCCCCAGCTTCCTCGGTCTGGGGACCGGACTGGTTGGTTTAGCTCCATCTCGGTCTCAGGCAGGGAGGCAGGAGGCGGAGGGGGCGGTCACTCACCGGGGCCACCAGCGAGGCCACTCCGCAAGCCAGACCCGTGAGGAGGCGGCCACCCAGCAGCATCCACACATCCTGGGCCGCGGTGATGACGGCAAAGCCCAGCACGAAGGGCACGGCGCACAGCAGGAGGCTCAGCTTGCGCCCCACGCGGTCCACCAGCGCCCCGCCCAGGACGCCCCCGGCCGCGGCGCCCAGGGTCACGATGGCCTGCGGACGGACGAGGGCGCCGAGCTGAGCGGCGGGTGCGGGGGACGCCGCCCGCCTGCTCCCTGCTCGCTCCCCGACGGCCCCCCGTCCAAGGGCTGGGAGGGTCGGGGCGCGCCCCCTGTCCGCGGGGGTCCCAGGCGGGCTGGAGTCGGGGGGCGCCTCACCCCGAACCAGGAAGCCTCCTGCTCATCCAGCCGCGGGGCGGGGGGCCCGGCGCGCTGCAGACTCGGGATGGCCGGGGAACTGTAGCCGAGCGCGAAGCCGAAGCTGAGCGGGCCCAGGGCAGCGGCGAAGGCGGCGAGGAAGACGCGGCGGCTGCGGGGAGCGCTGCGAGGACAGGGCCGAGGGTGAGCGGCGCCGCGGGGCCGGGCGGCAGGGCGAGGCCGCGCCCCGGGCCGACACTCCCTGCCGCCCACCTGCCGCCCCGAGGCCCCAGCAGCGGCTGGGTCTCCCTGTCCTCAGGCGTCATGTCGCCGACAGTCAACGCTTGCCTCGGGCCGACTCGGACGGACGCCCGAACCGCCGCCGCGGTTCCGCGAGGGCCGCCTCACGGGGCCTCTCACGGCAGAGCCGACCAATGGGTAGCAGGAGGCGGTGTCGGGGCGGGATCGGTTCCGCCCGCACGTGTACGGACAGCCAATGGGAGAGCAAGGCGAGAGTGAGCGTCTGCGCTAGGTCCCGCCCCTCAAGTCTAACCAGACCAATAGGAGCCCAGATCTGGTGGGCGACACCGTCCCTGGGACATCGCTGCCCAATGCAAGGGGAGGACGGAGCTCAGCTGTCCAGTCGGAGTGCGGTGCGAGCTCGGGGGCGGGACCAGAGAGCCGCTAGGACTTTTCGTCCTCACTCGCGGGTCCGGGCTGTAGTTCCTGGCGTGGAGGCACGTGACCTCTGTGTGTGTGGCCCGGCTGACCCTCCACTTTGGCGTGTCCCCGATTGTTGCTGACTCCGCGACCTGAGGCTTCCCCCGCGTCCCGCGCCGGCGCACGTGGGTGTGACCCGGCATGGGTCCCTATCACAAGGGCAACTCCGCGTCATCGTCTTCCTGCTCACCTATCCAGGAGTATGGCAGGTGCAGAGTCCGAGCCTCAGCGTGAGGAGGTGCTGAGGCTCGGATGAAGGACGTCTGACCGCCTTAGCAAGCAGCGATGCCCCGAGCCGCCCTCTGTGCCTGCACCACCACACGCCAGGGGCGCTGGGCTCCTCTGCTTGCACCTCCCTCCCCCATTCCTCTGGGGTCTCCTCTGGGCAGGGGACCCCTGTTGTTGCAGCGTGGATGAAGGCCTACAATCCAGGGAGACAAACTGGCGCTGTGCGCGGGCTTCCTAAGTCAGCTGCGTGAGGGGGCAGCCTTGAGGGGCATATGTAACCTTCTTGTGTGTTTTGCTCCAGAGACAGCGGAAGTTGTGAGGTCTGAGAACTCAGGGTAGCCGTGTCTCTTGCTGGGCAGTTCCCGTGGGAAGAGATGTGGGAATATGGTAAGGTGGATTGGTTCACGCCAAGGGCACATGACTTTCTCCACATTAAAAGCAGCCAGGATCATCCAGGGACATTTGATAATTTTCCATCCCTCATTCCTCCTGAGATGCAGGAGTTGCTGCTGAACCCTCACACTGAGCTTGTCCAGCCCAGCCGCCAGGCATGCAGCTGGCTCCCAGTGCCATGGACTTGACCGCGCTGAGGGCCGGAGGTGCGGGAAGAAACACATTTATAATAATCTAGTTAAAAGGCAGCAGGTTTTTCTTTATAAAAGGGACATGTCACATGACATAAATCAAGCTTGTATTGAAAAAAATTCTCCATCTGAATCTATTAAAGAGAAGGTTGCAGCAATAAGAATGAACGTTTTTGATTTATTCAAAGTTTCAATCTAAAACCTCAATGAAACCTACCACCTTTATTACAAGGGGACTTGATGGGTCTGGAATGGAGACAAACTGAAAGGTCGCGGAGGAGGCACCAGACACTGGAGGGGGACCCCAGGCAGCCCGGCGTGTGGGTTTGGTCCAAGAGATAGGCTGCAGATGGGCTGGGAGCAACGGGTTGTTGAGAAATGACATTGTGACTGTCTGAAGAGTAGAAACCTCCATAAGAAAAGGAAAGCTGGCCGGCGAGCCAGGGGCCGGGTCACTTCAAATCAATGATGTCCTCCTCGGAGGAGGCAGCGAGCTGGAAGGGGCCACCACCGCTCACCGGGCTGCCTTCTCTCTCGGCTGCTGGCGCTGTAGGCTCGCGCCCATCTGGGTTAGCTTCGGAAGCAGAAGGACTTTCCAGGGAGCCTGATGTGATCCTGGGGGGTGGGGAGAGGAAAGTTACTGTCTGAGGGACCCCTGAAGACCTCACAGGCTGGACCTGCTCTGTCTGGAAGCCCCCAGAGGCGCCTGCATCACCTCGAATGGCTGGGAGTAGGCTCGAATGGCTGGCTAGGCCCAGTTGAAGCCAGGGGTCTCTGGGGTGGGTGGCAGGGACCCAGGGACTCGGGCTGTCACCTGCTGCCTCCCATGAAGCATTAGCAGGAAGCTGAGTGGACTCAAAGGTAGGACTCGATGCCTCTGATACAGGATTGAGGCACTTGAAGCAGTGGCCCAACCACCACGCCACAACTCTTGCCTCCTGCCCCTTCCTGCCCCATCCCAGCTCTCCACACCTGCCCCTTTCCCAGCATCCCACCTGCTAGGGCTGCTCCCGGCTCCTGATTCACTCCAAGCCCAGTTCCATACCACATCCCCAACAAACTTTCTTCTGTCACCAGTCCTCCTACCCACCACCCCATCTCTGAGTTTAAGTGTCTGGGTTTCTCTTGTCAGGGTCTCAAATCACATGATATGCTTGTTCAGTTACAGGGTTGCTATCTGATTCACCAAAGTACAGTGCCAAGTCCACGCAGGTAGAGGCTTGGGCAGTGGACGAGCATGAGAGATCCTAGGCAAGTGGCTCTGCCCTTCCCAGCATGGTTCATGTTCACCTGACTCAGGGGATGTAGCTTAGTCCTCCTGTCTGCCGATGCAGCCCCTCCCCTCCAGCACCCTCACCAGCTGTGGACTCCTTCATTGTTCCATTGTGGGTCTTTTCCATCAGCCTGGGACCCCCCTGGAAGGCCCAGAAGTGGGGTGTAGTTGCCTCCTAACCATCATGCCCAGCTCAGTGCCGTGTATGCCAAGATTGTGTGTTGAGTGAATTGGGAGGGAGGCCCCATGCCCCTTCATGCAGGAGCGCACAGCCATGATGTGGCTTGAAGGACAGACAGAGATGGTTCAGGACAATTCCGTGTGACTCAGCATTTGGGAAAGGCGGGACCTGTTTGCGTGTATCAGGGGCTGACTTCCATGCCCTCTTCCTAGCATCTTTGTTTTTAAAACCTTCTGCCGATCTTGGGGCTAGTGTTATAGAGATGCCGGCATCCCGTCTGAATGCTGGTTTGAGTCCCTGCTGCTCCACTTCTGGTCCAGCTCCCTGCTAGTGTACCTGTGAGGTTAGCAGAGGATGGCTTAAGTGTTGGGGTCCCATCTGGTGGGAGACTCAGATGGGGCTCCTGTCTCCTGGCTCTGAACTGGCTCAACCGCAGCCACTGCAGGCATTTGAGGAGTGAAACAGTGGGTGAAAGATCTCTCCTCCTTTCTCAGTATCTCTATGAAAAAAATAAATTAAATCTTCAAAAAGAAAAAAAAAAACCCTCAACTAAAACTCTCCAACCCAGTGAGCAACAAAGCAAGCCTCCTGACTGTTTAAGGAGGTCGTATTGGAGGGGCTGGGGCTGCCCCTGGGCCAGGGCTTCCTGGGCCCCCATCGTGAACGAGGGTCACCCCCATCTTACCTGTCACTGCTGGTTGATCTCGCTGTCCCCAGCTTAGGGGCTGCTGGGCTCTCTTCTAACCGCTTCCTGGCTTTTGACTTAGTCCTGGGCGCTCCTTCTGACCTGGCTCCGCCTTCATCTGAGAGGCCTGGGTGATGGGTCACGGTCAGAGGTCAGAGAGGGCATGACTCCAGAGCTGCCACAGAAATGAAAACTGTGCCCCGCCCCCCTTTGTCTGGTTGGGTACTTGGGTATTACTAGGCTAGAGTCAGACAGAAAGATGTCAGGATGCACTTACTGATGGAAGGCTTTGTTGTTTTTGATTTAAAAAATTTCAGCAGATAAAATCCATACTGACACACCAGGGGCCCTGTCCTCCTGTACTCCTGAGAAGCATAGGGTGTGTTCAACAGCAACTGAGCTTTCCCAGGAAGCAGGGGTTACAAACAGCAATGTATACATTTCAAAAGGACAGTGGGAGGACCCAACTTCCAGAAGCACCTCTCCTGGTCAGTGTAGCTTGCCACATCAGCAGGCCTGAGTCCCCTTTGTGAGGGGTTCAGGGGGCATTATTGAGGGCCTGGGGACTTGCTATCCACCCCTCTACTACTTCTGTTTTATTTCCACCCAAGTTATCAAACCAGTTCTAACTGGCTTACTGTGCCATGTGGTGTTTCTCCCAATTCTCTTTTCACAAACCTGAACAAAATGTGTGATGCCCACCCAGCCTTCCCGTTGGGACCACAGTGCTTGGCCTGGGCTTCCAGGTGCCCGGGGAGAAGGTGTGACAAGCATCCTGGTTTGTGCCATGCCCACAGCTCTGCCCAGGCAAACCGAGAACTGGAACAGGCACAGGTTAACAGGTGCTACATCTCAACTTTGGGGATACCCAATACCAAAAATGTTGTCCTCCCAGACTCTCAGCTTAGGCAGTGATCTGCATCTGGGGACTTTTACATCCCAAAACTCTTGGGGTGCAACATGTGGAAAATACATAGAGGATGAGCCATTACCCAGCAGCTCCCTGCGGGTCCTGCTGGCTATTTCTTTGATTTCCATGCGGGACAGCGACAAGGAGTGGGTGACGGGGATGGCAGCAATGCCGACCCCGATGGAGGTGGGTGGCGTGATGACCTTGGAGACTAGGGGGGATTTCAGAGGTCGCTCGATGCTTCTGCCCACCAAGTTTCGCAGTGGAATCTTGTACAGATTTTTGGACTGGATTTCACCTGAAAGACGATTGCAGAGGAAAGATGAGGAGTGGAAGTCGGCTAGGTCCTGTGAGAGGATCCCATCCTGCCCCTCAGCATTGTTAGCCTGCTGCCTGGCACCTCCAAGACTCCTTCCTGGCTTGGTTTTGCACCTGCCCATTGGAGAGCATGTACTTCCTCCCGCCCACACCTGCCTGGGGAGGGCTGAACCAGAGCAGAAGAGCGAAACCCGGCCCCGCTCCGGGGAGCAGGGGGCTCTAGCTGCATAGGAAGCCACCAGGGTAAGATCTTACATCCTACTGGTGTGGTAAGCTCCCTTTCTGCAAAGCTCTTTTTTAAATTATTGATTTTTTTTTTTAAATCACAGGTTTCTTAAGAACACAACAGGGGTCAGCATGGTGGCTTAACACGCTGATCCTCCCCATGTGGTGCTGGTATCCCATATGGGTGTTGGTTTGGGTCTCTGCTGTGGCCTTGGAAACCAGTGGAGGATGGCTCAAGTCCTGGGGCTCCAACACTCATGTCAGAGACCCAGAGAAAACTCTTGGCTCCTGGCTTTGGACCTACCCGGCTCTAGCCATTTGGGGAGTAATCCAGCAGATAGAATCTTACTGTAAAAAAGTTAAATCTTGCATCCTTCTTAATTATGTAAACAATATTATAAATAAATTAAAATTGAAATAAATAAATCTTAAAAAACACTCATAACAAATGCATTTGAACGGCACACTTTTTTTTTCTTTCCTAAGTGGCCTTGACCCATGACTCCTTTAGGCTGCCATGCTCTGCAGATACTCAGTAGGAAGACCAGAGATGAACGTAAAAACAGGACTTCACCTTCCCCCAGGGAAGAAGGAAACGCGGGAGCGTCTCGGCCGGGGGGTGTCTGGGGGGAGCTGTGGGCACTGGCCCCCTTGGAGCTGCCTCCAGACGAAACCTCATTGCTGGCCGCAGCTGCTGTGAAGTATATGTCCGACTGGACAGAGAGAAAGAGCGTTAGGAGCAGGTGGGGAGCCCAGGCCCTGCCCGCCCGGCCCCTGTGTCATCACTGGCAGCTGCCGGGCAGGCCTCCTGAGGATGCGCTTGTTCCTGGCAGCCCCCACCTCGTCTGCCTGTTGGTCCGTGATAGAACACAGTGTCTCCCACATCCGCAAACACGTGACACACGCACTTCCTTCATCTTCCTCAGACACCTGCAGCGTCAGAGCTGAGGGAGCTCATGGATTCGCTTGGGACCGTCCTGCAGGTGGGGCTCATCCTTCATTTCATGATCTGATCCGGCAAAGCGGCTTATGCCCCCGTGGGTGACAAAAGCAGTGGTGCGCTGGTGCGAGGTGTGACTCAGGCAAGCCACATTTTAGGAAACTTCCAGGGTGGCTCGTAAAACCCAGCCACAATCACAGATCAAATCACATCACCAACGGGACTAAAGATCCAAGTTCGACTGTTTCTGATGATTTAGTTGCCCTTGGGTGACTGTTCTCAACAGACTGTGTGTGGCAGAAATGTTGGTGGTAGAAGTGTTTCGGGGGTCCCTTGTGGTGACTGCGGCACCCTGCCCCCTGCTCGTATGGAAGCCTGAAGATTGGGAGGGACTACCGACTTCACCAACACCCACGCTTTTCTCCGGACTGGAGAGAAAGCTAACGATGAGGACTGTGCTTAGGGTTGCTGCAGCTGAAGGAGGGTGGCAAGCAGTGGGACGGCAGATGATAGCCCAGTGGCAAAGGCAGACACATGAGCAGCCAGCCACCCCCACAAGGGTTGGATGTCGGGATAGGGAAAGTGCCACAGGGATGTGGCAGGGTCAGCCAAGGGACTGGAGCAAGTCCCTCCTCGCCTTCCTCCTCACCCTTATGTGGCAGTGACAGGAACCACTGCAGGTCACTGTGGTGCTGCATCCTTTGGTTGTGATAACCTCTGGGCTATTGGACACAGATTTGTCACAGCCACACACCACAAATCCAAACTGGGCACAGCCAGGGGCAAGGCTGCCTGTCCCTTTGTGTGGTGAGTGCACCCTGATTCTAGCTGCACCCCGTGATTCTGTCAACAGAAGCGAGTCGTGTTTCAAAGCCCAGGAGGGTCACAAAGGTGCACAGTGGCTCTTCCGTTGACATCAGCACATGGCCAGCCATGCTGCCAGCATTGCCCAGCCTTGGAGACAAGCAAATTCCCCGTGCATACTCTCTCAAAGTCTCCTGGTGCCTGGGGCTCCCAAAACCCCATGGACAGAAACCCAACCCCCAAACCCAGGGTCACTCACCCTGGAAGCCACGAGCTGCAGTTGCGGCACCACGGCCGTGTGGACCAGGTTCCCATTCACCACCAGGCGGATCTCCATGGCATCAGTGGTGAAGGCCAGGAGGTAAGGGAAGGCGCAGACTGCAAGGAACGGGGTGTCACTGCCTAGCTGGAGGCCGACGGCTGCCATGGCTCGGGGGTGTTGGACAGCCAGCCTCCTGTCTCCAGAAATTTCCACTTGTTTCATTCCTTGGCTACTCCTCCCGCCCCCACCGAGCAAGACCCCCCAGTGCTGTGGTGGCAGTCACTCTTAAGACTGTCCTCAGATGGCCTCGCTGGGCTGCCAATCTGCTTCTGGAGGCCAAGAGCTCAGCATTCACTTCTGGCTGGTGAGAACCCAACTGCTGGAGCCACGGCTGCTGGAGCCACAGCTGCTGCCTCTCAGAGACTGCCATGGCAGGAGGCTGGACTGGAGCCAAGTGTACAGCTGCCAAGTGTACTCTGATGGCAGGGTGTAGACATCTCAGCTGCGGGGCCAGAGGCGACCCCCCACTGATGTGGACCTTATAGCAGAGTTTTAGTGTGAGTTAAACAGCACTCACTGGAATGTTCTGGGAGCTGACTCCAGCCAGAAACACAGAGCATGCCACCCAGGGCCTGGAGTGTTAGTGACAGATTAAAGGACCTGACTTTCCGGGACTAGATTTTCCAGCTTGAAAACAAGATGAAAATGGGGCTGGTGCCATGGTGTAGTAGGTTAAGTGTCTGCCTGTGGTGCCAGCACCCACATGAGCACCTGTTCAAGTCCTGGCTGCTCTACTTTTGATCCAGCTCCCTGCTAATGTGCCTGGGAAAGCAGCAAAACATGGCCCAAGTCCTCAAGTCCCTGCACCCACATGGGAGATCTGGAAGACGTTCCAGGCTCTTGGCTTTGAACCAGAGCATCAACAGTCTAATCTGGCTGTTGGAGCCATTTAGGGAGTGAGCCAGTGGATGGAAGATATCTCTCTCTCTGTCTCTCCTCTCTCTTAAAAAAGAAAAGGTGGGTGTGGGGAGGACTGGCCTGACAGCTTTGTGTTCTCCATCAAGTCAGTTCTCTGAGGCAGAGAGACCTGGCTATCAGATAGTTACAAAAAGCAAGGTGGGGCCCAGCGATGTCAGGAGGTACCAAAGAAAACTAAGAGCTGAAGAGGGTGGTTAATGATGGCTCTCAGGTGCCCACGTGTTCAGGGCACAGGTGCACTCAGAGAGCAGAAGTTGTCAAAAAGGAGGCAAGAACACTTGTAAGGGCCAACCTTACCTAAGTGATCTGGGACAATTGAGCAGGAAGCCAGTGAGCCGGTTACCTAAACCTTATGGCTCTGAGAGGGGAACAGTGTTAGATGAAGGAGCCGCTTACCAATCGCACACGGAGCTTGGTTCCAACAGAACTGGAAATCTGATGCGGAGGGCTGCACCAAGAAAGAGCCGCCATTGAACGGGCAAACTTTTTTATAGATGCAGCTGTCTGCAAAGAAAACAAGAGCGTTGTGTTTGTGTGAGAGCAGCATGCGGGGTCCCTGTAACTGGGGCGATGAGAAATGGGTGGCAGGAATAGCGTCGTGTCTTGGGTCCCGAGGCCTTCTGGGATGGGGTGATGCGGCCAGCACCGGCAGTAACTAACCGCTCTCACTTACCGGGAAGCACTTCCTGCGTGCCAGGCACTGACCCGCAGTGAGTCCGGGCCATCTCACAAAGCAGCTGACATTCTCACACTCACTGCACACATGTCTCTCAGATTAGGAGGGGAGGCAGGATTTGAACACAGGTCTTGCTTGGCTGCCGGCACACCTCTGCCATGCGATCTCTCATGCTTGGGAAGGACCCTCCAGGCCCTGGCTGAAGGATGATTTTCCCCCAGGTGGGTCATGCCTGAGCACAGCTCAGGACAGGGTGGTGGAGCAACCTCATGTCCATCAGTCACTTTTCTACCCCTGGATGTAGACAATCATTAATCGATCTGTCTGCACTGAGTAGAACACTCTTGAGGCTCCACCATGTGTCTGTGTGTAGTTTCTTTTTTTTTTTTTAAGATTTATTTTTATTATTTTTTTTTATTGGAAAGGCAGATATACAGAGAGGAGAGACAGAGAGGAAGATCTTCCGTCCGATGATTCACTCCCCAAGTGAGCGCAACGGGCCGATACTATGCCGATCCGAAGCCAGGAGCCTCTTCCGGGTCTCCCATGCGGGTGCAGGTTCCCAAGGCTTTGGGCCGTCCTTGACTGCTTTCCCAGACCACAGGCAGGGAGCTGGAAGGGAAGCGGGGCTGCCGGGATTAGAACTGGCGCCCATATGGGATCCTGGGCGTGCAAGGCGAGGACCTTTAACCACTTGCGCCACCGCGCCGGGCCCTGTGTAGTTTCTTTTCATGATTAACATTCCACTGCACGGCTGAAGTATGTTCTGTGCGTCTTGCCCTGTCACCACATGTTCTCTGGAAGGCACACATGCATCTTTGTCATTGTTCAGAGAACATTACTGAGTGTGGATCTGTGCAGGGCAGGCCGGGCCCAGGGCTGGGTTATGCAGGTGAGTTATACAGGGTCCTGCTCTCTTTCTGGTCCTAAACAGGAAGAAGAGGGAAGTAGAAGAAGCAGGCAGGCTGTGGGGGCCCAGCGGAGCCCCATGCCCAGGATGCCTCTGTGGAGGAAGGAACAGCTGCCTCAGTGATGCTAACATCTCCTATGGGGGCTGGTTTGAGTCCTAACTACTCTACTTATGATCCAGCTCCTTACTAATGTGCTTAGGAAAGCAGCAGAAGGTGGCTGGGGTACTCTGGCCCTTGCCAACCATGTGGGAGACCCAGACGGAGTTTTGGGCTCCAAGCTTTGGCCTCATCCAGCTCCATTTGGGGAGTGAACCAGCAAATAGATGATCTCTCTCTTTTCCTCTTTCTCTGTAACTGACTCTCAAAACAAATCTTGAAAGGCAAAAAAAAAAAAAAAAAAAGAGTAGACAACATGGAATGGTAGCATTTGGAAAAGGAGAGACAGGAGATGAGGCCAGGCAGGGAGGGAGGCAGAGGGTGGTGTGGCAGAGGGGGTCCTAGCGTGAGAAGTAAAATGTTTGGGTTTGAGTTTTAGGAAAACGATGCTGGCTGTGCTTTGTTTGTTTGGTGACCCAGGAGGTGAGTGGCGCAGATAGTAATAGGCGGGACACTCGTGATTCATCTGAATCTGTGCAAGAACACTTGGAGCGGGGTGTGGTGGCGGGGAGAGACCCGGGCGGCAAGCCTGTCCGGCTAGGGTGACCTCTGGGCAGGTGCACTCTGGAGGGCGGCTCCTGAGCTCAGCTGGCTTGGCTGAGTGCACACGCGGAAGTGAGACACCCTGGTGTGCAGGTCAGAGTTGGGTCTGGAGGGAGAGCTGAGTCAGCAGCAGCACGCAGGGTCCAGGTGTGTCCCAGCTTGGCTGCAGGGAGGAGGCCAGGTGCTGGAGTTGGCTGGGGGCACATCTCGGGAGGGTCTGCTGCCTGCTTTTAGCATCCTTCCCACTCGGTGGACTTTTCTGGAACGCCCTGCCTTCTTTGGGTTTGGGGACTCCTTGGCTGTGAGCACTGTGCCTGGTAAAACTGCTACCTCACTGCTTTAAAACAGCTTATTAAGGAAAACACTTGAGTATCTTCATATTCGGCTGAAGATCTGGCCTGAGGAGTGCACCAGGGATCCAAGAGGATGCTGTGAGCTGACCTTGCACCTGCAGCTGCTGCTGGCCTGTGACTGCGGTGCGCCTGGATCACCTGAGTCTTCCTCACTCCAGTAATGCACCCCTCCCTGCACCCCCTGCTCTTTCTTCTCTGTTCTCCTAGATGGCCGTCTCAGCGCCAGTCCCTTTGTGACCCCTGCAGTCAACTCCCACTGCTGCTTAGAGACACCTGCTCCCATGGAGGTTTCCTCATGACCTCACCTGGCCAAGTTCAAGGCTCCAGCTCCCATCTGTTTCACCTGGGCTGGTGGAGTCCTTGGGTGAAGCGGATAGCACCTCCTTCTTAAACACCTGTCTCTAGGGGACGCCACACTCTGCTGTCTGTCCACTCCTCAGCCTGCTGTGCTTGGCTTCTGTCGTCCCCTGTGGGTGATGCGAGTGAGTCTTTTCAGAGCTGGCATCTCCGCAGCACCCAGGCTGGGCCCCTGATTTGTGCCCAGGCCTGCGCTCCTCCAGCATCCTTTCAGTTGCTCTTGTCCCAGGCTGCACGCTTATTCTGCCCCTCTTTCTCTCACGTGCCAGATCTGTGTTGTCAGCAAATTATCCTGGTTCTTCCCCCTTTCTTTAAACTTAAGACAGAAGTGTAAGCAGGCAAGCTGCACAAACAGCTGCACAGACGGCCGTGGCAGGCAGGTGCTTGCTGCTTTGACGCTGCAGCAGGTGGTGGATGAGTGCTGGGGAACAGGTGCTTGGTCACGTTCTTATATTCAAAATAGATTTCTGGGGGCAGTTCAGCCTAGCAGTTAAACCACCCGCATCCCACATGTGAGTGTTTGGGTTGGAGTGTCAATTCTGTGTCCTGTCTCCAATTTCCTACTAACGCAGACGCTTGCAAGCAGTGGCAAGTGTTCCCATCCTTGGGTTCCTGCCATTCACATAGGTTCCTCGACTGAGTTTCTGGCTTCGGCCTTGGGCAATTATGGGCATTTGGAGATTATTTGTTTCTCTCTCCCCACCCCACACAAAATCCTCAGCTCTGACCCCTCTCTGCACCTCTCCTGCCACGCTGTGGCCCCGAGCCACTGTCACCTCTCACCAGGTCATGAACTGTGCTCTCGGCTCTGGCCTCCACACAGCTAACTCTTCACACAGCAGCCAGAACAGCCCTTCTCACCCTCGGCCAGGTCTTGCCGCCCCTTTTCTCAGACTCTTCCAGGTGCTCACTAAGGTCCCCTGCCTAGCAGGCCCTCCCCAGGCCTAGCTGTCCGTGCCGGTTCTCCTCCCCAGGGAACCCTCTATTGTAGCTGCACTGATCGGCTTGGCTTGAGGTCATCTGTGCTGAGCCACAATGTTCCCTCCTCAAGCTCTTTGGCACCTGCTGTTGTGTCTGCTTGGAATACTCTGGAATACTCGTGCTGTAGATATGATGGCTCTGCAAAAAGCTCCGTGAGAGAATGGAATCAAAAGTATGGATTTACTTTGGCAGAAAACATTTGATTTCCCATGATACAGAGAGGATCTGTATGTTAGGAAGAAACTAAATGTGGACTTCAGTGTTGCTTTTATACTCCCATAAACTCATCCTGCTAGTCTCATTTTCCATGAGTTCTTTTTAAAATAATCACAGATCATTAAAACTATAATTTAAAAAAATATCATGAAGGGGTGTTGAATATCTTCAAGTGCTTTCAACTATTGAGATGGTTTTATTATTTATTTATCTTTGGTACTTCATTCTCTAGAGGTAGTTTATGATGTGTATTGACTTGCAAATGTTGAATCACCCGTGTGTTCCTGGGATAAATCTCACTTGATCACGGATGGACGATCCTTTTGGATTCGACTCGCCGGGATCCTGTTGAGAATGTTTGCATCTATGTTCCCGAGGGATACAGGTGTGTAGTTTTCACGTTGTGGCTTTGGTTTTGGTATCCAGATAATGCCGGCCTCACTGAAAGGCTCTGGCAGAGTCCCGTTCCTGCTCAGCATCCTGGAGTAGTTTGGAGAATACTGAACTTTCTCTTCCTGTTTGTATACTTCCTCTTTGCTTTGTAGACTTCAGCAGTAGAGCCATCAGGTTCTGGACTTTTCCTTGACCGGAGGCTTTGGATTACTGCTTCAGTCTCATCGTCCGTCATGGATCGTCTGGAGTTAGTCTTGGTTGATTATAGGAATCCAGGAATTTATCCATTTCTTCTCGGTTTTCCAGTTTATTTATTTATTTTTTTAAAAAGATTTTTAAAAAAGATTTATTTATTTTTATTGCAAAGGCAGATATACAGAGAGGAGGAGAGACAGAGAGGAAGATCCTCTGTCCGATGATTCACTCCCCAAGTGACCGCAATGGCTGGAGCTAAGCCAATCTGAAGTCAGGAGCTTGGAGCCTCTTTGGGGTCTCCCACGTGGGTGCAGGGTCCCACGGCTTTGGGCTGTCCTCTACTGCTTTTCCAGGCCACAAGCAGGGAGCTAGATGGGAAACAGGGCCACTAGGACTAGAACTGGTGACCATATGGAATCCTAGCACATGCAAGGTGAGGACTTTAACCACTACGCCGTCATGCCGGGCCTGGTTGTCCAGTTTATTACTGTACATTTCTTCATAGCAATTTCTTATGATCCTTTGTATGTCAGTGGTATACACTGTAAGCATCTCCTTTTTCATCTCCGATTTTATTTATTGGAGTTTTTCTTTGTTAGTCTGGCTAGAGGTCTGTCTAGTTTGCTTATCGTCCCCAAAAATCAACTTTTTGTTTTGTTGTAGATATTTTTTGGGGTTTGAGTTTCACTTCTTTCTGCTCTGATGCTTATTACTTCTCGCTTCCTGCTCTTTGGGGTTTAGTTTGTTCTGGTTTTTCTGTCTTCAAGACTCATTGTTAGACATTTAATCTCAGATATTTATTTCTCTTTAAAATATAAGCATTTGGGACCGGAGCGATGGCACAGTGGTTAAAGGTCCTCGCCTTGCACGCCCGGGATCCCATATGGGTGCCAGTTCTAATCCCTGCAGCCCTGCTTCCCATCCAACTTCCTGCCTGTGGCCTGGGAAAGCAGTGGAGGACGGCCCAAAGCTTTGGGACTCTGCACCAGCGTAGGAGACCCGGAAGAGGCTCCTGGCTTCGGACTGGCTCAGCACCAGCCATTGTGGCTGCCTGGGGAGTGAGTCATCGGACGAAAGATCCTCCTCTCTGTATATCTGCCTTTCCAATAAAAATAAAATAAATCTTAAAAAAAATGTAAGCATTTAAGGCTATAAACTTCCCTCTTAGGGCTGCTTTTGCTGAATCCATAGTTTTTGATATGTCGTGTTTCATTTTCATTTATTTCAAGTTTTTGATTTCCTTTCTAATTTCTTCAATGATCCATTGATCATCCAGTAGCACGATGTTTAATTAAGCATTCATGATTATGCTCTTGTTCCTGTTGCTGGTTTCTGGCCTTACTGAATTATGGTCTGAGCAGACCCAGGGTGTGATTTCAGTAGTTTTCCATGAGCTTTCTGACTCTCCTGGGTATCTTCCAGTCTAACTTCCAGTCTTCTCCTGGCTCTCCAATGCCCCTCATGGTGACTGGCACTCCCTGCACCTGCCCAGCCCTCATCCCTCTCCCCTTAGCACTACCCACTTAGTGCCCCAGGTAGTTCCCTTGTTTGTTTTGTTCACTGTCTAGCTGTTTACCTCTGAGTGGTAACTGCCATGCCAGCACGCTAGAGGAGTGCCAGTTCAAGTCCCAACTGCTTTGCTTTCGATCCACTTCTCTGTTAGAGTGCCTAAGAAAACAGCAGAGGCTGACTCAAGTGCTTGGACCCCTGCCACCCACGAGGGAGACCTCGATGGAATTTGAGGTTCCTGGCTTTGTCCTGGCCCAGCCATGGCCACTGTAGCCACCGGGGAGTGAATCAGCAGATGGAAGATCTCTCTCTCTCTCCTCCTTCTATATCTGCCCCCATCCTTCTACAAACACCAATTTATTTATTCATTTGAGAGATTTACAGGGTGGAGTTGGGAGGGTGGGAGAGAGAGAGAGAGAGCTCGATCTTCCATCTGCTGGCTCACTCCCCAGATGGCTGCTGGCATCCCAGTGTCTACCTGCTATGCCACCATGCCACTCCTAATACATCAACCTGATAACCTTTCCTGAGGTTAAGTGCTGGTATGCATGTTACCGCTGAATCCCCAGGCAGGCATGTGCTCTGGCTGATGCTGGCTGATTGCAGCCTCTTGTTTCCCATCCCGGGGGGAGGGAGCAGAGGGCAGCAGTCTGTCTCCCGAGGCCTGGTTCCTTACACTTCTCTCTCTCCAGCCCCATGAGGAAAGGCTGCGGTGAATCAGACTGAACAGGTAGATCTATGGAGGAGGGCTTAGCTGTGCAGCCTGTCTGCCTGCAGCCCGTGCGTTCCTCTCCCCAAGGCCTCAACTCACAGCAACCCCAATACCGCCTCTGGCTCACCAGGCCCCCACAGTCCCCTGCTGTGCTCTGGCTGTGTCCCCTCAAACTCACGTGTTGGGGGTTAGAAGGCAGGGCCTCCTGAGAGGGGTTCAGGCTGAGAGGACATTGTCGCTGCTGGGTCACTGCTGCTGCAGGAAAGCCTGCAGAAGAGGGTCTGCTCCATTTTGCTTTGTGTGGACACAGTCTGCACCCATTCGTCCTGTCTGCCGTCTGTCATGTAGGGATGTACCATTGGGTGATGGTTTTTAGGACCATGAGAAGTAAATTCCTGTTCTTCCTAAATTACCCAGAAGCAGGTGTTCTGTGGTGGCAGAATGAAGTCATCTCTCCGCGGTGGCTGCACGTGAGAGGGCTGGGCTGAGGGCTGGACACGAAGTAGCCCGGCACTGACCAGCCAGCTGGTGCAGAACGACAGTGAGTGACACTAACTCTGACTTCAAGACAAGCGCCTCTGTAGGCAGGTCCTGTGGAGGGCAATAGCTGGGCTCTGAAGTCTCACCCTGGTGAAGCCCCACTACCAGAAGGGCAGGTGGCCTCCTGCCGTGCCAGGCAGTGCTGGGGCTAAATAAGGTCATGTGGAGAATGAGGGAGCTTTCCCAGTTGAGCTTGTGTGAATGTCTCTGAGACCCCATTGGCAAACACAAGCATTTCCCCCCTTGTACTTAACTCAATAATTCGCACTGAAGGTTGATGACAATGGAGTACTAACGTTACTGTCAATTCCTTTCTTTTTTCAAGTACTTTACACTGACCTCAGGATCTAAACAAATTTTTTTTTTAATAATTATTTTAAAGTTTTGTTCGTTTATTTTATTTCCCCCTTATGTTTCTGTCTTAGTTTTGGCTTCAGGCTCTTTGACCTTGGTATTTTAAAATAGAGGCTAATGATGAGAAAATAAGAAGGTCACCAACTGCCTGCATTATTTAGACCCTCCGGGGTTTATGATGTGAATCTGTTTTTCTCAAGGGACACATCGTAAGGTCTCTATCACAAACTCTTTTTGTCTTTAGCAGAGCTATGATGAAGATTTCTCCTCTTTAGGACTTTGAATTTCTAAAAGTTATTTTTACTCAAAAGTTATATTTTACTTAAATAATAAAAATCAGTCCCTCACCCCAGGTGAAAAGATGTAGGACAGGACGTTTTGATGTGATGGTCCGTGACTGGAGTGGGACCGGAAACCTGGCGTGGGGCAATGGGCCTCCCTGGGTGGGTTCCGGTAGGCCATGGTGGGGGTGCTGCTTGAGCCACCTTGGCATAGCAGAGACCTCCTCAGCTGGGTTGAAAAGCATTCGGTCCCATATGTTTTTCATTGATTTTTTGTTTGTTTTCTTCTAAAGAAAGTAAAGAGACCACTCCTTCTTCTTGGTTCACTGTTTGGAAGAAGGTGTAAGCAGGCCTGTGATTAAACATCCTCTAAGAGTAACTTCCCCTTAAGGAGCTTTCCTTACACTCTGTAACTTGGTGCACTTTGTAACTGCCTTCTCCTAACTTACTCCCCCTCAGTCTGGCATTTTGAAAATGATGTTGATCCAAAAGATTGCTTTCCTATCTACTAGGCAGAGATTAATGAGTCAAAGTATCTTATCCATGTGATAGAACTAGCACCACTGTCCCAATATTGATAAAGTCATAGGCTGACAAACAGATCTGAGGCTTTAGACTGCATGACCTCTTCCACCCAGGAAAAATGTCCAATTTTTTTTTTAGTCTTAAAAAAAAATACTTTTAGGGGCTAGCATGATAGCTCAATTGACTAATCTTCTTCCTACAATTCTCCCTGTACTTGTGTGGGAGACGTGGAGGAAGCTCCTGGCTTCAGATGGTCTCAGCTCCGGCCATTGTGGCCATTTGGGAAGTGAACCAGAGGATGGAAGATCTTTCTCCTCTTGTAAATCTGCCTTTCAATAAAACATAAATCTTTAAGAAACAAAACAAAACAAAACAAAACTCGTCTGGTTCCTAGCCTGGGGATTGAGGGAGTCCAGGGACCCTAGAAGCGAACCCTGGGCCTCTGCTTTGCAGCTGCCTGACCCCGAGAAAGGCAGCTCACCTCTTAGGCTTTTCCTGTGTTCTCTCTAAGCTGGCAATAGGAACAGGGCCAGTTCGGGGGTGTCCATCATGCAAATTAAACAAGACAATAACCATCACATACTGGCAAAGCACGCAGCACAGAGTAGGGGGTTTCCTTACTGGCAGTCGGTGTCAACACTGCCACATTCTGGTGCTAGTGTCATCCCCTGGCTTTGATGCCATGTCACCGAGAGGTTGGGGTGGAGGCACACGGGGGGAGAGCCAAGGGTGTGCATGTGTGTGTGCAGTTTTGAGCTGCAATTACACGTGCAGGCAAATCTGAGGGTAAGTCCCTTTACACTGCCCAGAGACGAGACAGTCCTCATGAGCAAGCGAAGACGCCGCAGGGCCTTGACTTACAGTTGTGACACAGGAGCAGGCCAGCCTCTCCATCTTCGTACACATCAATAGCTGCAACAAAATTAACCTGCAATGATAACGGGCAATGGTGGTGGGCAGGCAGGACATGGACACTAGGAAAACACGGGCTCAGGCTGCGAGCTGCTGGCTGCCAGGCCATCTGTACCACCTCCCCCACCCAGCCCCCAGCATCCAGTGGCGCCACCCAGAGGCCACGGATGCAATATACGGCAGTCCTTTCTTACTGCCTCTTCACTCATCTGAGCAACTCTATTTCCAGCTCTGCTGTTCTCTCTGTGCAAATATATCAGGTGTACGGCACATGTTCCCGGTAACAGAGCATTTTCACATGGGCTTGTAATTTCATTCTTGGGTCAACCCTAAAAAGTGTCTGGCATTATTCCCACTTCACAGATGGCAAAGGGAGGCTCAGAGAGGCTTCCTGGCTGGTGGGGGCCGCAGCCCAGATCCAACCCGGGGCTCGGGTCCTCTTCCTACCTTTCTATTCCTGTCCCCTCAGAGAGGCCTCACGTTGCCTCTGAGCCTCCCAGTGGCTCCAGCAAGCCTGCAGGGCTGGCCTTTCCCGTGCTCACTTCTGGGGAGAGGAGGACCTGTCCTGCGGGTCCTCTGCTTCTGCATCCATCCAGGCCTCAGTTTCTGCATTTGAGGAGGGGGCTCTGGTGCCCATATCCTTGTTGCTGGCTGCTTTTATTCCCCAGTGCTAGCCCTCTGAGGGTCTCCTGCTCCCTTTGCTGCCCCACCTGCATTTCTAGCCCTTAGCCCAGCCAGGACAGCCTCCTTCCCACGGAAGGCCCCCACTAATGCTCACCTCTGCCCAGTACCCCTACAGCCTCTGATATGGGAATCCCACTTGTATCTGGTCTCCCATTTCAGATGATTCTTCTATCTTGCAGCTCTTTTTTACAGAAGCAACTTGGATAGTATCAAATTTTTCTCTGTTTTCATAAGCTGGCTGTGTTCTGTGGGTGTTAGCAGGCACATGGCACGTTGCCTTGCCTATCTCCAGGGTCCTCCTGCCCATCGGACAAGGGAGCTCCTGACCAAGGAGAGGGACCACGGCTGCTGACCACACAAGGCGTGAGTGCGCAGTGCTCTTGGAGCCTGGATCTGGGGAGGGGGCTTTTGCTTTTCCTTTCTTCCTCCAAAACAGTTTCTTTTTTTCTCTTAGAGAAACGCTCTGTATCTTTGTTTTCCAAAAAGCATACTGAAGGCAGAAAATTCTAGAATTGTTCCTCGTAGATATCAGGAAAAATGAGGAACACATCAAAGCAAGTTATCAAAGGAATTGTCTGTAACTCAGTTTTTCCTAGGCTTTTCATGAGACATGAGGAAAAAAAAAATATCCTCAAGCCTTCTAAGGAACGATCAGGATTTTAAATGTAACTAAATAAGAGCTACAACATAAATGAAATTGTTGAAAAGATGACATTTCTCTACCCTGATAAATGATAATGCAACTGCAGAATTCTCAAAGACATGATCTGTTTTAAACTCAAACACGTCAAACGCTGTCTCTGAAATAAGCTTGGGTACTTTCCCCACGAGAAAGTTTTCTGGAAAGAGTGAATGAGCACCTGCTAGGCCATCATTGCTCTGTGGTTTTCGGCTTGAGGAGCCAAAATGGGTGAGACCTTTTCGAGGATGAGCCAGGCACTTCCTCCCCCATAAGGCCAGCAGGCTGGGGTGGCCCCAGGCCCAAAGAGAAGCCCAGGTGGTGGTCGGTGGCTGCAGGGAGGGGAGTGGCAGTGCCTCAACCTGGGTTCAGGCGGCCTTTCAGGATAGATGTGTGCAGCTGAATCTACCTTAGTCTTAGAAGACAGTGGTTTCTGAGTCCTCCCCATCCTGCTTGAGTCCTCCCCAGACTCTGCTTGGATCTGGAGTGGCGGGATGGGGAGGGCTGGGAGCTCCTTCTCACAGCTCCCCAGGTGATCACAGGCAGGGTTCAAGGTGATGAGGATGTAGCCAGGGATTCTGATGTGAGCAAGTCCATTCAAGACCAGTGAGGTCTCTGCAGGAGCAGCGTCCAAGCTCCTAGATGGCTCCTCAGAGAGCTGAGTTGGGATTCCAGCACCGTGGAAAAGAGAAATGACAGCGTACTCTACGGCCATCAAACCAAGACCTTCTTACTAGATAGATAGATGTAGGCTTCTGTATTTCTGGTTTTGCTGTTTTTCATATTGGAGGGCTAGTTCAAATTCCAGTTACACAGCTTCCCAGCCAGCTCCCTGCTAATGGACCTGGGAAAGCAGCAGAGGATGACCCAAGTCTTTGGGCCTCTGCCACTCATGTGAAGACCAGATGAAGCTCCTGGCTCCTGGCTTCATCCAGGCCCAGACCTGGCTGTTACGGTCTGGGGGTAGGTGGTAGGGCTGGGGGTTAGTAGTGGACGGGAAATCTGTCAGTCTGCCTTTCAAATCAATCAATCAAGATTTTTTTTTTCTGCCTCTGAAAATCTTGCTCTAATTAGATATTACGTGTTCTTAATGATTAGCAGTATTAATGAGCACTTACTAAGACAAGCTGCTAAGCCTAACTGGAAAGAATTCCATGGTCTCTGGCTTGCTGAACAGAATGGATGGGGAGCCTATGTGTTTGGAAGCCCGGTGAGGATCTGCGGGTTGTGTTCTCCCAGGGGGAGACTGAGTCCCTCATTCTACCTTTTGTATCTAAGGTGGGATGCTAGTGTACACTGCCCAGTGTGAACCCCACGATTCAGCATTGCCAGGTCTGCGCCTTGTCTCTCAGTGGTAAACAACCTGCTGTCATCTCCAGCCTCCAGCGACAGCAGGGTACCCTGGCCTCAGGGTAGTGGGTGTTCAGCAGCTTCTGCTGAGCTCAGAATTCAGACCCCCTCCCATACTAGTTAGCATCAGAGTAGTTTTGCTGCTAAACCTGGAACCTGTGCTTTCCATACAGCTCAGGGTGCAGACATGTGTGCTTCCGTCCGCCTGCCCACTCTTCCCTCCCCACCCCAGTGGGGCTCTAAGTGGTCAGAAAGGAGTCCACCTGTCCCCTACCCCGAGTCATTGATCCCTAAGCTGTGAGCCTCAGATTGACTCTCCGAAGGCCTCCCAGGTGCTCTGCCTAGCACGTCCTTTGGCTTCCTTAGCTACTGGCATTCAGCTCTCTGACTCTGTGCTTTGCTTTTGTTCAGGAGGCTGGCATGTTAGGGCAAGATCTGGAAGGGCTATGTGGGGCAATGGGACAGCAGTGTCGAGTTAGGGGAAGCCATTTATCCCTGCTAAAATGCCAACCCAGTGTGGTTCAGGCTGCAGAGTGCACCCATAATACGGGCATGCTGAGTGGGAGGTGATGGAAAGAAACCCCATGAAGGCACCTAGCCCCGTCCCTCGCCCACTCCCCAGGCTGTCCCTCCAGCGGCTGCCTTACCCTGTTGGCCTCCACGTGGTGCAGCCGGAAGGCCTCCCCCGTGCTCTCGTTCACCACATCGAACTGGTGTCGGTAAGCCACGCAGATGAGGTTGTCACTCTCTTCCGTCGGCCCGTCCACCAGGGTCATCACCACGGGTGAGTCCGACAGGCAGATTTCCTGGGCGCAAACAGCCGCCTTCATGTCAGCTCTTGCTGCTAGCCTCCTCGGGCAGCCGAGGCTGCCCCCCGCCCGGTGGCTAGGGCCTCCGGTGACCCGTCATTGAGATGACTGTGCTTGGAGGTGGGGCCTTGGGGAATGATGAGGACTAGACAAATCATTAGGTTGAAGGCCCTGTGAGCAGTGACAGGCACAGCCCCACCTACTCCCGGTCTCTTGTCTCAGCATGCCCTGCGTCCCACTGGGACTCTGCACCTCCACAGCCCTGAGCCTACACAGCCCTCTCTTCTTGACAGTGCCCTGCCCTGCACGTTTGGTTTTTAGTCCCAGAATGCTTGCTCCATGTACTTTGCCTGTAGTCATTGCAGCCTGTTGTGGGAGAACAATGGGAAAAGAGCTTCCATGACATATGGGTGTGTGCGTGCTGTCTGCAGATGGTCACGGATGGCCTTACAAGGGCCAGTATCCAACTGGGGCAAGACTTGAACTTGCCGGATCCGCCATGCTGCCCCAACTCCATTATGTGCAGCAGTAGCAGACCAGCACAGGTGTAATCCAGGGGACTTTGCCAGAAACAGCGTCTCAGTTTGCCTGGGTGGGGGGTTTGGGGACATTGCATGATGGGTTACGAGGCTGTGCCCCCAGCAAGTCCTGGTGCCTCGGGCTAGTGGCACAGCTTCCCCCTCCCCATGCTTCTCTGACCCTTCTGGCTCCCCGGGCCTGAATCCTGCTTCAGAGGCCCACTTGATTTCTACTCTTGGGCTGCAGGCTCTGCTCCACCCAGGAGCTAGTAGAAATCAAAGCCAAAGTCTTCGTTAGGGCCCCTTGGGTCCCGCCTTCTCTGAGCTGCCTCCTGCCCTTTCCTCTGTACCCACCACCTGCCTGTTCCAGCATCTTCAACAGCCCCAAGGGCCACGGACTGGCACCTAGCCCCAGGCATTCTCCGCATTTGCTCCCACTCTGCCCTGTGGTGTCTGTTCAGGGCAGGTTTTCCTGGGAAACAGACCTCTGCCCCCTCACTTCCCTCTGCCTTATCCTCCGCCTCTGCTCAGGATTTATCCCTGCCAACAGTCACAGGTCTAGCTTCTGCTCTGTGTTATCCTTCAGCTAGAGAACAATCTCCAGGAGAGGGGATGCCTAACTCCATCCAGGTCTCCCACCTGAGTGGCAGGGACTCAACTCCTTGGAGCCATGACCTGCTGTCTGCCAGGATCTGCCTTAGCAGGAACCTGGAGCCCAGAGCTGGAACTGGAGCTGAGTGTTAATACAGAATGCGGGGAGTCTCGGCTGCTTGACTGAGTGCCTGCCCAGGAATGAATTTTTCTGGTGAGTGTCCCACAGGTGAGGGGTCCCTCACTGGTTATGGAACAGGTATGTCTAACTGTACCTTAGGCCGGAGTGGCCAGGAGAGAAGTGCTCTGCAGTGCAAAACAACCTACCCTGATGTACTGGAATTCTTCAACTGGTGACTCAGACACTGGGGACAGCGAGGAGAGGCCGGGGCCCCCGCTCGGCTTCTTGTGTTTCCTGGTGATCAGGAGCAGTTTATTCCGAATGGCGACCACAATCCTCAGCTCCCGGCTATGGTGAGTGTTAATTGCATACAAGTGGCAGCCTGGGAAGAGAAGGGAAGTGTCGCTCAATGTGTAGCCGGGGAGTTTAGAAGCGTCGGGGCCTTGATGCTTTGGTGATAACCTGGGAAAACTCCACTTTCTGACATCAGGGGGAAAGGTGACTTAAAATAAAAATGGGTTACAGCAACTGTAGCGTGCAGGGTGTGGTCTTGTCTTCCTGTTCCCTGACAGGTCACATGAGCAGGGTTTGGACCTGTCTGCAAGACATCTCCTCTTGCCAGTTTGCTAACAAGCTGAATGCACCTACAGGAAAACCTGTTCTGCACGGGCCTGGAGCTTCTCTCAAGCCGCAGCCAGCTTCTCTATGTTTTCAAGTTTCCTAAGGTAACAGGTGTCACTACCTCGTGACGTTTCCGAGTCAGGACCAAACCGGCGCGGTCAAATTCCTACTCGTTGTTATCTTCTGCAAAGCTTGGCCACAGGAAAACCTCAGCTCAACAGAAACCCCTGAACACGAGGATCCCAGTCACCTTTTGTCTTTTCCAGCTTGTTCTCCCGGCAGTCGGACCTGCCCTTCCCGGCCTGTTTGGCGTCGAGGCCCTTCTGCAAGGCACTTAGCCGGAAGACAAAGAGGCGGGCATCCTTTCCTGGTGACAGGGGAAGGAAGGAGTTAGGTTGGACGCATCAGAAGACCTGGAGGAACCTGGGAAGGGCTAGGATGTAGGAAGCACCCTATATTGCTTTCTGGCTCTCTGCAATTGCGGATGCACCTCCCTGCCGCCCCTGGCTGAGTGTGGGGGTGCCCCAGGAGAAGCAGTTGACCCCGGAGTCCCCCAGCACATCGGCTGCAGAGGGTGGGCCCTTTTTGGTCTCTCAGAGCACCCACCCGGAAGGGGATGCCACCTTTGTCTGCTCTGAGCACCAGGAGGTCCAGCGTCTCCAGCACGTGCACCTGCTTCACGGGCAGCGACCTGTCGAACACGGGCACTGGCGGGAGGTCGTCTGGAAGAGGAAAGCTGGTTACGCGGGGGTGGCGGCCCTGCCCACACCGCCCCATCCGGGGCTGGAGGAGCCCGCCCTCCCGCACAGCGAGGAGCTGGGCCTGGGTCTCCACAGAAAGCTCAAACATCACCCTTCTCTCGGCTCAGGGACAAGCACCAACACGAGGGGACTTAAGATATTTGGAGAGAATGGGCTTAAGGTTGTTTTTGTTTTTGTTTTTGTTTTTTAATTAAAAAGCAAAACAAAACAACAACCCCAAATTGAAATTCCCTTGTATTCCCCTCTAGATGCATCCAGAACTCAGTCTGGAGATACAGCAACAGGAGTAAAAAAATTGTATTCTCACTTTCATTAAAGACAAAGCAGTTGAATCTCTCAGTCCCAGTTTCAATGTGATGGTCCCAAAAGACTGAACAAGTAAAAAGATAAGAATGAAAAAGAGGGTGGAAGTGGGAGAGCAGTGATCTCAAGTCTCTCGTAAAGTATTATGGTATTTTCCCATTTTTAGGTACTATGTGAAATGATCTTCTATTTTAGATCATTTTTCGTGTATCTCGAGACAGTAAAACAACACTTTCATTTGTACTTAAATACTCTGTTCTAACCTGCTGTGATCTGCACCTACAGTAGTTCGCCTCCAGGTTCATAGTATTACTCTGAATAAGAAATTCTCTTTATTTTAAAGGCAAAAATAAAAGGGAAATATTAATTGTACTGCCCAAACAGCAAGAAGAAATTAATTCCAGGGGGGAAATTTTCAATTATATGGCTGATTAAAGGCATCACAGGTGCACACAGGACCTTCTTTGAAGGTGACTCATGGGAATTTCAAATTATCAGCGGTTGCTTTGCTCTCAAAGGGCCCTGTGACACCGGGGGGCTACAGGTATGATGTAGGCTGATCTGTGAGGCAGTTTTTTTTCTCTGGATGCAGACGCGGGGCATGGCAGGTGCAAAGGGTAGCCAGGGCTGGGGTGAGCTTGGTGCAGGAGAGGTGGCACCTTCGTTCTGTGGCTGCCCTCAGCTCTCAGTGGCTGTGCCCGGGGCTTGGGCTTATTTACCTAAGCCCTATTCAGGTGCAAGGGTCTCTGAGCACATCAGCTGTTATAGCAATGTAAGTGTGCTTGGAGGGCAGTCCACCCTGGACGGTGCCCAGGACAGGCAGGGGGAAAGTGAGGCCTTGCTGTCTGCTCCCTGTTGGTGGGGGATGGATCTTTTGCTCCACACGGCTTGTCTCTGATTTCCTTTTAATTCCTGGGGCAAATGTGAGTGAAACTGATGATGAGTCATTCACTCATCAACCATTCTCCTTCCTCCTCTACCTCAGGCCTTCACAAGAAAGTACTGATTCTCACTGCACTGTTGCCAGGGCAGCCTCCATTGTTCCAAACATGGGAGGATGGCCCCAACGCCCGTCAGCCACCCACCACTTCCGGCTGAGTTACCGTGATCATCCCATTGCGGGAGAAAGGCAGACAACCTTCCAGGGCCTGGTGCTTAGCGTGCCTGTGGCATTTCCCAGTGCCCCCAGGAGGCAAAACTGGTAACATTTCCATTTAACAAGACTGAGCTGCCAGTAACTTTTCTGAGGCCACAGCCCGGAGCAAGTGGAGGCTAACCCCAGGCAAGGACAAAGCCAGCTGTGTGCTGGGTCATTGTCAGGGCATGAGAGCCGCCTTGCCTCCCATGGGCTGAAGGGGCAACCATGGCAGCAGCAGCAGTTGTACACTCAATGATAGGAACTGCACACCGGACACAGGGACACTGGATTAAGCTAAGCAGCCATCCCCCAGGGTTCCTTCCTGGGTGTGCACACAGCACAGGAAGGCAGAAGATGCAGGACTGACTGCTGGGTGGATTCCATGACTGTTTCGTCAATCCTGTTTTTTTTTCCTTCTTGTCATCGCCTCATGGAAAACAAAAGCACACGGGGATGGCATTAGGAATTGGCATTTTTGTTCTTCCAAAGCGGGTTGGGCTCCACTTGGAGTGCAAAGGACCTTGGTTTTGCATAATGGACTTGAAAGGTGTGGACTCATAAGGGCTTAGTCTAATGAAATGAAACAGTGGTTAAACGGGACAGAGTGGAGCTCAGCCTGAAAGGGTCTGAAAGAAGCCCATTCCTGGGAACAACTCACAGGACGAAGAGAACACAGAATCGTGGCTGCCGCTGCTTCTTTTTTTTTTAATATTTAACTTTTTAAGAACCGTGGCTTCTAAGTGCTTCCAAGGCACGAAGAAAGCCTCAAGGATTCATCTTCTTAGTGAAGACCAACAGGGAAGCGTTTGTTTCTATTTCATCCTGATTTGATTAGGACTTCATTTTTGGAAATCTGTATAAAACACTGATAAGAACTTAAATAGATTGTTACAGAACGTAGCTGGTGAGTGGAAACGAGCCCTGGGCTCGGAATCCCCTTGGGTTCCAGTTTCAGACACTCCGTGGTATCAAGTAAGTCCCGACGCTTCTTTTGGCCTTGGCTTTTGCATCTATAGAACTAAGAGACTAGACCAAACCTTTAGGGTTTGCTTCTTTTTCAAAGCAAAATGTTTTTGGTTGTACTTTTGGCAAACAACAACAACAAAATCTAAGGCTTTTCTCAAAGTGTGGCAAGGTCATGGGGACAGAGGGAAGGTCACAGCTATCGCTTAGTAGGTGACAACTGTGTGCTGATATGCTTGGGACACTTCACGTGGGCAGTCCCTCCATGATAACATCCTTTAAAAAAATCACCTCCATCTGAGAGAAATCCAGGCCTTGGAGTCAAGCATTCTTCAAGGTCACAGAGTTTCCAATTGCTTTTGCCATTTCTACACTTCAACACTCATTTTCGATTCTTGCTTGATGAATTTTTAAGCTATCTGCTTTTTCTTGAGTTATAGACACAATTTGGCTAAGGGCATTAGGCATTGGCATTAGGACAGGTATCAAAAGTAAGATGAACCAGGATCAGACAGACATCCCCAGGGAGTGTGGCCAGACTCCCTGACCTCCCCACCCCTGGCACCCAGCCTGGCAGGTGCTGAGTCAGGGTCAGTCTGGGTGCGGGTTGTGCTAAAGGGTGGGAAGAGGCTGCAGTTTCAAGGACACTGTGTCAGTCCCATGATGGTGGCTTTAGCAGTCCCTTGAAATGTTGCTATGGTGGCCAGAGCCTGGGTATCTGCAAGGGCTGTGGGGACCCTTTGGCACCCCCGTCTGGGACTCGGGCTTCCTCAGGAGCTGCAGATGACCTGGTGCTGGGTTGAGCTCCTCTGTCACCAACTGGGAGCCTGCCCTGATGCCAAGAGTCCTGTGGGTCCATCCTTCAATCTATACCCTCGACCCAAACTGCGCTTACTACCCACTGTGTCTTGGCCACGGGCAGGTTCTGCACACGGTGGCTGGTCTGTGCAGCAGGGAGCTGAGCACCTCTGGGGGCACACTGATCTATGGGTTGGTGTTAGAGGGGCTTGACTCAATCAAGGTCTCTTTGTTCATTCATCAGAAATGAATCACATTGTTTGTTTTTAGACATGAAGTATTTTACCTCGAGAGAGATCACATGGTCACTGAAGACAGTGGTTCCAAACCACGTGTCCTTGTGGATTTCAGGTAACCATGGAATAAGTTATTGCTCAGCAAGGGAGAATGCTTTGGGGGCATTTGATAGCCAGCTGTCACCTCATCAGATCTGGGGCAGCAATGAGCCTGCATGATTGGCTAAGAACATATGTCTTCTGCTTGCATTAAAGACAAAGGGTTGATTTGGGCAGGCCATGGCACTTGGCAAACCTCCCCCTGATGGTGTGATGGGAGTTGATTCGTAGTCGCCCTCTCGGAATGACTCCAAATTACACAAATAAAGACAGTTGTAGGAACAGCTACTCACTAACCATCCACTAGCAAGACACCGGCATCCGTGGAAACCAGCAGGGCCTGGCCCCAGGGGTCTGCGCACACGGCTTCATGGGGGAAATTACTGCAGAAACACTGGGGCTCCCAGGGCTGTGAGGCGACACAACATGAGAAAGTAAGTGCATTGGAGGAAACACACGGTGGCCTGGCCAGCCCACGCCTGAACCAGCAACACAGATGCGCAGTGGGAAGGCAAGTTGGCCACACCCTGGAGCTCCGCAGGGGGCTGGGCTCTGTTACCTTCCTGAAGAATGCAAAGTCTCCTTTCCATAGGCAGGTAGAAAAGAGGGAGTTTCGGACGCCATGTCCTGCGTCTCTGCGCTGCAGTTACATTCTTTTGGGCAGGGCAGCTGAAGCCCTGGCAAGGCTTTCTAAGGCTTCAGTGTTTGGAGGTGGGGCCGAATGTGCTGCCTCTTTCTTGAGAGGATGTGCATTCGTTCATTATAGAAGGAAGTGCCACGTGATGCTATGAAAAAGTCAGATTCCTGTGTTGCTGATTCTGCGAAATTATTAAACCACACACAGTGCAAAGGGTTGGTATCGTCTTAACCCCCCAAAATGCTTATCGACCCACATGAAGCCAAGAACTCTTAGAAAACGGTGGATGCTGCCGAGGTAACTATGCCTGCTCCTCCACAAGCAGCAGGTTCACTCCTTGGGTCTCAGTTTCATTTTCCTTCGGGGTGTGAGAGCTGGAACTCCCACGTACGGCTCCGAGCTACACGTGGGTATGTGGAAAGCGCAGAGACAGCTTCCGGAGGCCTCGGTCACACCAGCAGGCCGAGTGAACATTTTCTTTCTTTTTAAACTAAAAACTATTTTACTTTTATTTGAAAGGTAGAGAGAAAGAGAGAGGAGAGAGAGAGAGAATCTTCCATCTACTGGTTCACTTCCCAATAGCCACAAATGCTGGAGCTTCTTCCAGCCAGGAGCTTCTTCCAGGTCTCCCACATAGGTGCAGGGATCCAAGGACCTGAGTCATCCTCCACTGCTTTCTCAGGCCATTAGCAGGGAGCTGGATCAAAAGTGAAGCAGCCACGACTGAGCCAGAGCTCTTATGGGATGCCAGTGACATAGGTGGAAGCTTTGCCTACTATACTATGGTACTAACCCCCTTGTGGATGTTTTTAACATAACCATTAACTCCCCTTCAAATCAATGGCTTGGCCTCAAAGGACAAGGGACCTTTTCAGAGATTCTTGGGGACAAGTTGAAGTCTTCCGTCTTTACTTTTACTCTCAGACACAAGGGCCTGGTAAGTCCCACCTGGGACTGCAGAGAAGCCCTGAGGATGCCCAGGAGGTGTGTCTGTCAGCACCTAGAGAGGGTGTGTTTCATACTCAGTCTCAAAGTCTTCTGGGATGAGAGTCTCATTAGGGCTGAGGATAAAGGATGTACGGGCATCACTGCTACCTTAGAACAGCATGGCACTGTGGCACAGTAGGTAAGGCATCCCGTACGGGCACCAGTTTGTGTCCCAGATGCTCTACTTCCAGTCCTTTCCCCTGCTAATACTACTGGGAAAGTAGCTGAAGACAGCCCAAGTGCTTGAGCCCCTGCATGCACGTGGGAGCCCCAGAAGAAGCTCCTGGCTCCTGACTTTGGACTGGTTCAGCTCTGGCTATTGTGGTTATGTGGGGAAGAAGCCAGCAAATGGAAGATCTCTTTTTAGTTTTCTTGCATCCCTTCTCCCTGACCCCCACCGTAACTCTGTCTTTCAAATTGAAGGGAAAAAAAAGTAAAGCAAATCATAGCATGCTTCCCTGTCAGGAAACCCATGAGCCACCAAAAGGATGTTCTAGCTGCTAAGACAGGAACTGTCCTGTTCTGGAAAGGTTACCTACAGCATGGAAACATCTTATAAACAGCAGAGCGGCTGTGTCCTGCTGATCGTTGCCTGCAACTGCATTTCCCTGAGATTTCCGGCAGTCCTGAGCTTGTGGCTCAGACGAGGACAGGCGAAAGCGAAGCCGTATGAATGTCACACCTGGAAGACAGACTCCAGTGCACTTGGAGATCCCAAGACAGGCAACTGGCTCTTCCAGGCCAGGGAACACTGGGACACTCCTGTAGACGGGGCCCTGGACGAGGCATGGAGGCGTCTGCGAAATGCCAGGAATTGTGCCCACAGCGCCGTCTGCACATTTTGCAGAGCTGGGATGTGGCCTGCCTGTAGACTTCAGGGATTCTCCCTGGGGCTGGTGACTGTGTGAGGTCTGAGGTGCTACTGACTGGGACCAGGGACCAAGGGGCAGTGACAGACTGAGATCTGGCTTGCAGAGGCTCTGGTCTGGACCTGATAGCCCTAGACCCCTTCTACCATGTGCAAGGCTCAGGCCGGGACACGTGGGCTTCCTGCCTGAGCGTCAGACTCCCCACAGGCTGCCGGACAGCACTCTCCTGTGTGACAAGGGGCTGAAGGAGCCCCGTGCCTAGCCCATGAGGTCCTGGGAACAATCTTTCTCCAGGGGTGGCCACTGCCTCGGGGCAGGTATCAGCAACCCCAAAGGTAATAGCTGCTCTTTAGCAGTTACTGGCAAGCAAGTCATGATTCGACATGTTTCAGTTTTTAATCTGGCCCTAGGAACTTCTTATTCAGACCATCATTAAATTTTACGGGAGGAGCTGACACACTGGCTCAATAGGCTAATCCTCTGCCTATAGCACAGACATCTCAAATAGGTGCTGGTTCTAGTCCTGGCTGCTTCACTTCCCATCCAGCTCCCTGCTTGTGGTCTGGGAAGGCAGTCGAGGACAGCCCAAGCCTTGGGACTCTGCACCCCTGTGGGAGACCCAGAAGAGGTTCTGGGCTCCTGGCTTTGGATTGGTTCAGCTCCAGCCATCGTGGCCGCTTGGGGAGTGAATCAACAGATGGAAAATCTTCCTCTCTGTCTCTCCTCCTCTCTGTATGTCTGATTTTCCAATAGACTAAATCTTAGTAGAATAAGTAAGTAGAATAAATCTTTTAAAAAATCCTACTAGAATTTTCTGTTTGTAATATGTTTAGTAACACTGCTAATTGCTACTTATGTGCACGACCAAGCAGACAGACACCTTTGGAAGGCATGCTTTGCTGCCAGGCTTAATTTGGTTGCAGTTCTTTCAAGCTCGCCATTTCCCTGAAGCTACATCTTAAAACATGAAGGCTCCAGTCATCTCTGCTTCTACCACCAAGACACACATACTCATTTCTCTTGCTTTTATAACGCACACTTCTCTAGTAAAGCATGCCTGCCCATCTATCCTCTTTAGGTGATCTTTACATTTTTCTGAAAGTACGCATCCATGAGTACTGAAGGTATTGTTTGGCAATACAAGATCATGTGCCTAGTAAGTTCATATCATAATTTATTTTTTGCTGTTATAATCTTGATTACTGCCTAGTACCCCTAATCCTCTCTTCCCAGTGGCTGGGTGAGTGGCAGATTCAGCAGTAGTGGATTGGCAGCTGGGGTATGTCAGTATTACCTGGGGACCTGTCAGGATGCACCCTCCAGACCCTTCCCACATCCTCAGCTCTGGGGGACGACAGCCATGCAATGGTGTTAACCTCTGCCTCCAGCACAGGTCAGCAGCCCGGGCGCCTCATTCCAGCTGGAGCGAGACACAGACCTGACCGCAGCCACACTCCTGGCTCGGAGCATGCGTGGGTTCAGGGGGTGTGAATGCACACACCGCAGGGTAGGTGCCACCAGAACCTTGCCTGGCTGCCCATGCCCGGCCCAGCAGCTCTGCTCTGTTCCTGTAGGCCTCAGACGTGCATGCCATGGGAACATGGAGTCTCCTTTGGGCCCCAGATGCTGCATTAGGTGAGCTCCTCCTTCTTCCGTCCAGACTTTTCCCCCAGGAGCCTTGCTGAGCAGCAAGGACACTCACAGGCCCACGGGAAGGCTTCACCAACTCACCTCTCTTTTACAGATCCCTGAAGCTGCCAAGCTGGATGGGGCGTCTCCTCTTACTGTGGACTTCAGCTTCAGGGCCTTCAGAACAGAGATGCCTTTTAAAAAGTTTGTCATTAGCAGTAAGGGAGCAGTGGGATGTGGAAGCAAAATTTATAAATCAGGAGCGGTTTCAGACTGAAGGACTGGCTTCTCCCACTGACTTGTCATTGAATAGCAGGTAGTGAAACCACAGCCCAAGGAGCCCCAAACATGTTGTACCGTTTTGGTGAGCTGCTGGATCAGGGCCTTGTGAGTCCTGAACCAGCAACATCGAGAAAAATCGATGCCCAGGTCTTTCTCTAACCTGGATGGCTCCAAATCGTCCATGTGTTTTAGATGGGGGAGCCCTGTAGCCATGCACCTGTGTGAGCAGAGTGGACTTTGCCTCTAACTACCTGCTTACAGCTGGCAGCTAGGCTGTGACGTGGGGCCAGGACAGGCAGCCTTGCCACCTCCTGGAGCTGAGAAAACCGCTCACGTAGGCCTGAGGCAAAGGGAGGACAAATTCCTCCAGTGCCTGCAATTAGGGTGTGGCTTGGGGGCTGTCCATGTGGGGTGGGGGTGGCAGGAACTGTCTTACAGGATGTTACTGGATAAAAATTCAGGCTTTTTTGTGAAAGAGACTGCCATTGAGCCAGGAATAGGGACAAAACCACAGCTCCCTAATCGGCTCCCTGGACAAGATGTTCCCAGGATGCAGGCAAAGGATCCCTGCTCCCTGGGCAAGAGGGAACCCAGGCTTGGGACCATCTACATCTAGGCCATGGCAACCCGCTAATGCAGGGTGCTATTCTCTCACAAGTGCCTACACAGCAGGAGGCAGATGGCAGATGGCTGCACCAGGGCCATCTGGTGGGGTCCGGTAAGACCCACCTGCCCGATTCTGACGAATTCAGCCTGGCGCGCCTCCTCTTTCTTCCGGGCCGACTTGGGCGATTCGGGTAACACATCACTGAAGGACCGTCTGTTAAGCATGTTCTGAAAAGCAGAAATGAGTTATGAATCCCGCAGATCTCTGGAAGATGTCAGAGTTGCCCGGCTCATTCCCCGACCTCCTCAGTTTTACCTGCTTGTCACCTTCACGGCCCAGAGCAGCATCACCTGGCCCTGCTGGGGCCAGACGCTCCAGGGGATGCTGACCAATACTGGGCCACCCCATCCCCCACACCCAGATCCCCACAGGCCCTGACTTCGTGAAAACCACAGTCCCACACAAGGACACTCCAGGGCTGCTCCTGGGCTTCTCGAAGAGGAGAGCCTATCACTAGCATGTGGGGTCTCAACTCAGACCCCCGTGGGAAGGAAAGAACTTTGGAAGGCCCCAAAGTTACCTTGTGCAGATCTGGCATCAGATCCTGATATAAGGATCGGATCAGCATATCCAGAGTACGCCGGCGCTTCTGGGCAAAGGTGGGGGTTTCCAAAGTGGCTTTTTCACCATTGATTACTAAACAGGGCAAGTTGAAGGGAAGTTACAAACATTGTTAGCCATCGAGGAACACCATTAACTTTCCTGATATTGGTGCTGCCATTGGTACAACCTTTCTATTGTGAAATAAAGCTTGAATATTCTGCAAAGGAATTTGTGCATCCTGCTGATTTGGCTTCATGGGTTGGGAGGTGGGGAGATAAGCGGGTCAGATGGGTGGGAAAGCCACTGGTTTGGTCTTCAAGAAGCCTATAGACCAACAAGACAGGCTCGGGTGCACTTTCAGAATGTGTTGATCTGCACAAAAGGCATTTGGTCCATTTTGTTGGGATAATAACTACATCAGCACAGGACTGGGGTTCTTAGCCTAATGGAAGCTTCTGGTGGGAGAAAACTGAGGTCTTAGTGGACTCTCGGCATTAGGAGTCAACAAAATGGAATGGACAGTCCCACATGCACAAGAGTCTGGGAGCCCAGGGCCAAGGTGCAGCTGTTGGCTGTGTATCCTTAAGTGAGTTGTTTGGTGTCTTGGGTTCTTTAGTTTTTCTACCATATACAGGGGGGTATCGCTATATTTCCTATAGGGTTGTTGTAGTTTAAATGAAATACTGCATAGAAAGAACATGGAATTATGCACACTGAACTGAGCAGATGATACCTACAAATCTCACTCGGAGGCCCAGAGGAAGGTCAGAGTTCATAGTCAGAGATGCAACTCTGTGAGGGCAGGTGTTTCTTGGGTAGGGTCTGTGTGCCGGGACAAGCTGGGCGTGTGAATGGCAAGACTCCTGTGTGTGTCTATTACTGTCTTTTCAGTTTTGTTTAATTTGCTTGAAAGGCAGAGGGAGGCACACAGAAAGACAGGCACACACACAGACAAAGCTATTTTTATTCTGTGGGATTTTTTTTTTTCTTCTTAGTACCTTAGAAAAACCAATTAAAAAAGATTTGTTTGAGCTGACTGAAGAGGAAGGTCAAGGTTTTGAATGACATTCCCTTTCCTGTTATCTCTGAGTTGTCTGCCTGGCTGCTTCCTGCTTCCTACTAAATCTACTTTGGAGCTCAAAGAACTTTCTGCTGCCATGGCTCCCAGGCCCGCTGACCACTCACTAAGTCCCCTGGTCCCCATGGCCCCACCATGGCCAGATGCCCTCACTGACCTCTCCACTCCCTCTAGCTCCTGGGCGTACACGATCTGCCTCAGTCTTCAGTGTCAGATCACCTGAGCCCTGCATTTCCTTTCACCCCAGCACCCCAGGGTGCCTAGGCTGGGTGTTCTGTGCAGCTGGGCGCTCCTCTAGTCCCTGGTGAAGGCCCCATTTGCTGCAGGCTCTCTCCCAAGGGTGCCCCCAGCCCCTGTTGAGCTCCCTTCTCTCCCCGTTTGCTGCCTGGAACTTGACCCACATGGACCCCATGGTTTTAAGACGTAGGTAGTTTTACACAGAACTCCAGATTTCCGACTTTTCCTGAAGACTCAGGCTGTGTGGCAATGTGCGGCTCACACTCCTGAAAGGCAGCGCCTGGCTGGTGCCAAGCGCATGCTATCCCATGGATCACAGCTCCTGACACACTTCCTGATCCCACGTGGTCTGCCTTGCCCACTCACTTTCCTTTCTGCCTCTCTAGGGACCTTAGTTCTGGCACTTGATAGAAGGCACATGGACACAGGGAGGGACGAGACAAAATCATCTCCCTTTCCAAGTGGTCAGTAGGATCTGCTGCCCCTTAGGAGTTGCATGCTGTTACCTACAGACCCTGGTGTGGGTTAAGGTGTTGGAAATGATAATTCTGGGTGGCTCTGCTTGGGCTCAAAGGGAGAACCTGCTAAGGTGCCCTTTATGTCCCCGCAGTCCAGAGAAAGGTTTGGAAGCACAGAGGAAAGCAAAAGGATCCATCCAGTGGCTTGGCTAAGACTGCCAAGGGATTAAGTGATATTCATTGCTTTGATTGTCAGTTGTGAGGGTCGCCACCTGCAGACCTGCTTTGTGCTGCTGTGGGGTTCGTGTGCAAGGCTTGGCAGGATCCACTGGGACACAAGGAAATAACGGAGGGACAACGTGTGTGTGTGTGTGTGTGTGTGTGTGCCCTTTTCCTGGCCTAGGGGACTGAATTTGGTCGGTCTTGCAGTAAGATATGACCAGAGGCTGGAGAGCCCCTGTTCGTGGGTGACTGTGTAGAACTCTGGGCTCAGTCAGTGCTACCTTGGGGCTAGGGAACCAAGGCAGACTCAGAGGAGAAAGATGGGAGGCAGCCAGCAAAGCAGCTGAGGGCCCAGGGTGGGTCTGGCAGAGGCTAGAATGGTCTCTTCCCAGAGGGCCCAGGGGCTGGCAAAGCGGCATACACGAAGAGGTTGCAGTGAGCAGACCGTAGGGACTTGAATCTAACATCCATGAGACAGCCACCCCTGGGCCTGGCCCAGCAATGTCCACGAGCAATGGTGTGGGGGAGGGGCGTGGCAGAGCGCGTGTATTCCAGGGCATGGGGATTTGGGTACCATGAGGTGAGCTACAACATTTGCTCAACAGTCAGGGATGCCCAGGGCAGTTGGGGTCTACTTGTCATATTCATATTCTGTCTGTCTCTCACACATTCCCCAAGAATGCTCCCTGTCCCTAAGGATGGGTGCTTAGCCACTCTTCCCCCATCCACACCCCATCCTCTGACAAAACTCGGAAAGACAGAAATACATAGGGTCGGGCCTGGCACGATAGCCTAGTGGCTAAAATCCTCACCTAGAACACACCGGGATCCCATGAGTGCCAGTTTTAATACCGGTGGCCCTGCTTGCCATCTAGCTCCCTTGCTTGTAGCCTGGGGAAGCAGTTGAGGATGGCCTAAAGAAATGCACAGGGTCTTGGGGACAGCTGCATCAAGCACAGGACAGGAGGCCACTTGAAGACCCCACGACACTTACTGTGAGTAGGTGAGCGCAGATAAACTTCAGGGCAGCTGGGCAGCTGGTGGAGACCTATACAACACTCCCTGAAAACTCAACATGTAAGGAAAGAACCAGGGTGCTTCAGAAAGGATCTGTCCTTGTCCAGCTTCCTGGGAGTGGTGGTGGTGGTGGTGGGGAGTCTGAAGATATGCATTCTTACTTAGAACAAGCAGCGAAAACATTGTGAAATGGAAACTTACATTTCACCAGCAAAAAGTCCCTGAATTCCTGGTGATCTGTAAACACCGGTGGGGATGGCAAGGGTGGGCCAAAGAGTGGGACGCTTTCTTCTGAAAAAATTTTCAGCCTGGGTAGGTAGAGAACATTCCAGAATCAGTTGGTTCTTCTTCAAAGGCCACTGGTATCTAGCCCATCAACATGCCTGGCCACCCATGTGATGTGTTAGACATTCCTTCACGCCATACTTGGCTCTCCTTTCCAGCTTGGCCAAATCCTCTTCTAGGCCAGAGGACAAGTCTCCCCAAATCCCTGGTGGTCCAGTCCACCAGCCCTGGACAAGGTCAGGCACTGGTGGGTTGGGAGGAGAGGGGATAATAGCAGTGGCCACTATTGAGCATCTTGAAGACAGTTCTGCAAGGTGAGGGCATTCGTTTTGGATTGATCAGGAACTATGCATATTAAGAACCTCACAAAACTCATGCTGAATTGACAAACACAAGTATCAGGCCACAACAATGATGCCATTCGTTACTTACCTGTAATTGTCATTTTGTTGGTCGTATCTCACTAAGGCAAAGATATCTGTGGGGACGGTTAAGGAAATGGATCAACACTCTGGTTGATGCTAACTGCTGACGGCCTGAGTGGTAAAAATCCCGGCGAGGAGACCTCTCCACCAACGAGGTCGTGGAGCTGTGACTCAGGTTGGGACAGAACTGGGACTTCTCTACAAGAGACCACCGTGGGAGAACCCAGGGACTAGGCCCGACCAGGCAGGCCCATCCCCAGGCATGGGGTCAGGCGCTGTCAGAAAAGACACCTGCTGGGCCTGGCGCGGTGGCGCAAGTGCTTAAGGTCCTAGCCTTGCAAGCCCTGGATCCCATATGAGCACCGGTTCTATCCCGGCAGCCCCGCTTCCCAGCCAGCTCCCCGCCTGTAGCCTGGGAAAGCAGTCAAGGATGGCCCAAGGCTTTGGGACTCTGCACCCACGTGGGAGACCCGGAAGAGTCTCCTGGCTTCGGATCGGCATAGCATCGGCCGTTGTGCTCACTTGGGGAATGAATCATCGGACAGAAGATCTTCCCCTCTGTCTCTCCTCTCTGTATATCTGCCTTTCCAATAAAAAAAAAAAAAGAAAGAAAGAAAGAAAGAAAAGACACCTGCTAAGATGTCCGCATCCTGTGTCAGAGTGCCTGAGCATTGCACCTGGCTCCAACTCCTGCCAACTAAGACCCTGGCAGGCAATGGCGATGGCACAAGCGATCAGCTTCTGCCATCTCCACAGGAGCCCTGGCTGAGCTCCCAGGGCCCAGCTGCAGCTTGGTCCAGTCCTGGCCACTGCTGGCATTTGAACAGTAAATCAACAGTCAGGAATTTTCTCTCAGTTTCCCCCTTTCTCTATCTCTCAAACAAGTAAAAACTTAATCTTAAGAAAGAAAATAAGAAATAAACAAACGTAGGAAATGAAGCAGCTAAAGACAAAAGAGCATCCCCCTTGCCTAGGAGCATAAGCCGCTGCCGACGGCCGATCCGTCATCCACCTCATCTCACACATCTTGCAAAGGAAAGCAACGTGAAGCTGCCGCCACGCACCTTCCTTCTCCCCCTTCTGGCTGTGGGGGACGAGACAGAACCCAACAGATGGGGCCACACCAACAGGGCTGGCGGCAGCTGCGAAGCACAGATCTTGCTGCTGTGTTGGTTGGGCTGGTGCTGTCTCCACCCTACTGCTCCCTTCCTCAGCTGGGGCCATAAAGATATAGGGTTTTCCTTCCAAAGACTGGGGAGTTGGAGATGCATCTGTATTAACTGTCTGCCTATCCTTCTCCAGAAACAAATGTGTCAAGCTCCAAATCTAAAACTTGGAGTTAAGGTAAAGGTCTAAGAAATAACGACCGTCACTCAACCACTTAACATGTCCCTGGCCTGAATCCCAATGAATGGGGGACAAGAGCGTTAGAAAGCACCAGTGAGAATGGAGAAGTAATAGTAACTGTAGCGCAGGGGCGTGCTTCTGGACTCTACTGTTGGGTCACCAGGAACAACAACAACAAAAGTAGAGACAGTTGCACACGCAGTGAGCCACCGTGCTCCTATCTTCAAACATCGTTCCTGGGTCTTCGGAGAACCTGAGTATGTAGGCCAGAATTTATTCCAAAGATGCTCATGAGCTGCCTTTGACTTACGATGTGGAACCGCACAGCCAATGGCCGTGGGTTTTGCACGCACAGCTTGAAGCACGCCATGCGCTTGAGCTGGGCCAGTCTGGCTGAAGAAGCTCAGGCACTGTAGGGGGCCTTGTTGGAAGTACAAGCCGACCATGGGGTTAAGACAGCCAACAGAAGCATCAATTGCATCACTTCTCAAATTCCACAACATGATAGCGTTGGTAGCTATTTCCAGGGCTAAGTGCCAACAAGGAGAAAGTTCAGCTTTTTATCTGAACTGGACACGTTTCCGTATCTACAGCAAATTTCTTGGGGGATTCACTACCTGTAATTCCTCTAATTCACTTATTCCCACTGGATGGTGGATGGCTCCTCATTTCATGGCTACCAAGAAAGGGGAACATATTTTAGAGTCGAGAATTCCCTGAGGGGCGAGTTCAGAGTGCACGGGCTTGATGCTTGCCTCTATTTCCGATTCTAGCTTCCTGCTAGCACAGACCCTGGAGAGAGTAGGTGATCCCTAAAGTCCTTGGGTCCCTGCCATCCAGCTGGGAGAGCTGGATGGAGTTTCAGGCTCCTGCCTTTGGCCTGGCCCAGCCCTCACAGGTGTGAACATTTGGGGAGTGAACCAGCTGAGGGTCTTTCTCTCTGTCTTACAAATACAAAAAGAATTCCACGAGAATGAATCCAATCACTAGTCCAATGGAAGGAGAGGGAACAGCGGCAAACGCAGGGTTTTGGAATTCCCACACAGTGGGTTTCAGGCTGGAGCCCTGCCAAACAATCTGACTAGGACATTCGCCCAAGTCAAGTTCAGCAAGGCTGTGCAGCCACACAGGCCGAGGCTCAGGATGCGTGTGAAGTGGGAGCGGATCATGGAAGGCTTGAAGGCAGGGCACGTCTCCTCTCCTTCCTGGAACACGATGGTCACGATGTCGTTCCCAATGTGGCGCTTCCGTTCCACCTGCGGTGGCACAAACAGCGCAGCTGAGAAAGGAGAGTGGCGTGTCTACGGAGCTCCACGTGATGTGACACAGCACCCACAGTCATGGCCCCAGGGCCCCGAGCCACATGCGTCCTTGCCTTCTCTCTCTGTTTCCCAGCCCCGGCTCCTGCTTCTCCTCCCTTGCATTTCCTCACCTCCTATGCCAGTTTTCTGCAGATTGGATCGACTCACCTACTTCACTCTCTATCCTTAGCCTGGCAGTCTTGGTTCCAAGCCAGAGACAGACAGCAGACTTTCCCCATGGATGGGCCTCCAATGGCCTATAGATGGCTTCCGAGTAAGCATGCTTATACTGTGGATTTTTTTTTTTTTAACTTTATGGTGCTCTCAGAATGCACCATTTTGCTTTTCACTATCAATATGATAGTCAACACATTAGGTGGTTCACACCTGGTCCTAAGACAGGCCACTAGGCAGGCTTAAATTCTGCTCTGAGCACATTAAAGGTGGTGGGCTGAGCAGCGATGCTCTGGAGGTCCGGGCAGAGGATGTATTTTCTACTTGGCAATCTTCTCAATGTACAGGGTGTGTGGGGGAGCATGATTGGGGTCTGGCCCTGACACAGGTCTGTTTTTGTTTGTTTGTTTGTTTGTTTATATAAAGACTTAGCTAGCTCTGAGCAAAGATTTGGTGCAGACAGTGGCGCTTCATAACTTGACCCCAGTTGACCTTTTCAAAATGATTTCTCAGACCTGGGTTTGCAGAGTTTTCTTTCAGTAGAGGGCCAGACAGCAAAGATCCTGTGGCCCAGGGTTTCTTTCTCCACGGCTCCGCTGTTGCAGCACAGCAGCCGCCAGACCTGCACACCCAGGGGCGGGGTGGGTTCCAGGAACACGCTCCTCCCCAGCATGGCTGCCAAGCCCTGCCTATCCCATTCATTCAGAATCGCCTTTCCTCAGATCCCCTGGTGTATTTCCAGCAAAAGACAAGGGAAACATAGCCTCTGTCTGATGCTATTCATTTCGCCTGTGCTCTTAGTTTTGTTCAAGAAAGCAATTGTGCTCTTAGTTTTGTTCAAGAAAGCAATTATGTTTGGCAATGCCTCTGCAGGTAGCAGAGGTGCTGGCTGTGTACTGTGCTAAGGAGCACAGCGTAGCCCAGGTGAGCCTGCTCCAGCCTCAGAGCTGGCTTCTGAAATGACCAGTGGCTTCTGCCACCTTCCCCCTGAAACACACATTTTCTTTCTTTTTCTGGGCGGGGGGCAGGGACGTGGGTAAGGAGGGTGTACTGCCAAGGTCAGAGTCAGGAGCCAGGCTTTCTGCTGGAGAGACAGTGAGGTGATCGCTGAGGCACTATGGTAGGGACAGCTCCGGAGCTGTCCAGAGCAAGGGGCAAGGGGCTAGATGTCACAGGCCTCAGCCTCCAGATGTGGCTTCCAGTTGACTGCAACTGACAAGAGATCCTACAATGTGAGACCAGCAAAAAACCTGCCAGCTGTGCCCAAATCATAAGAAATTAAAAAGCAGCCCTTTTAACTGACGAGTTTGAGAGTGGCGTGTTAGGCGGCAACGGGTAAGTGAAACATGGCCCCTGCCTACTCTATTTCTGTTGCCTGGACTCTTAGTTCTGCGTGTCCCAAACCTGCTTATCTAAGTGCAGGCAGGCAGGACCTTCTCCAGGAAGCCTTCCTTGCTCTCCATTAGATATCACCCTTCTCAGTGTTCAAAGCATATTTCTCAGGCCATTGTTACGGGGTTTATAATCTGTTGCTTTGCACAGTGCTGATGTTTGTTCATGTTTGTACTCCTCACTGTACGTGACTGGAGAACAGGACCCCTGATGGGTAAATCATGAATATTATTCCAGTTCTGCCCACAAGAAGATTTAGGCTAAGAGAGAGGTTCTAGTAGTTTTAATGAGGCCCACTTTAAAAAAATAACTATCTGGGGGCAATGACATTTTGGGTATGACATTAAAACTGCAAGCAATAAAACAGACAGATGAACAGAGCTACATCGAAACTTAAAACTTCTGGGGCTGGCACGGTGGCAGAGTAGGCTAAGCCTCCACCTGTGGCACTGGTTTCCCATCTGGGTGCCAGTTCAGGTTCCAGCTGCTCCAGTTCCATTCTAGCTCCCTGCTTATGGCCTGGGAAAGTGGTAAGGATGGCTCAAGTTCTTGGGCCCCTACACACACAATGGGGACCCGGAGAAAGCTCCTGACATATCATTGCAGCTCAGCTCTGGCTGTTGTGGCCCTTTGAGGAGTGAACCAGAACATGGAAGATCTCTCTCTCTGTTCCTGCTTCTCTCTGTAACTCTGCCTTTCAAATAAAAATAAATGCAACCTTAAAAAAAATTGGAAACTTCTGCACATCAAGGGACACTATGAACAGAGTGAAAAGACATCCAACTACATGGGGGAAATATTTGCAAATCATGTATTTAATAAGAGTCTGATATCCAGAATATATAAAGAGCTCCTAAGATTGGACAACAAAAAACCCAGTTATAAAGGGCTTGAACATCTGTGTGTTCAAGAAAGACACACAAATGGAGGCAAAGCACATGAAAAGACACCCAATGCCATTAATCAGAGAAATGCAGACCAAACCAAAGTGTCATTTAATTCCCACCAGGATGGCTGCTGTCAAACAAACAAACCAATCAACCCCAGAAACCATCACCTATACTGGTGAGACTGGGGAGAAACTGGAGCCCTGCGGGGTCGCTGGTGTGGGAGCGTGAAATGGTGCAGCCACCAGAGAATATGACATGATGGTCCATGAGAAAAATTAAATATAGACAGGCCACATGATCCAGTGGCTGCTACTGGTGTATACCCCAAAGAAAATTACAAACAGGGATTTCAACAGATTTAAGTATTGCGATGTTCAGAGCAGCAGTGTTCACAAAAGCCCAAAGGAGGACAGAGCCCAGTGTCCACTGACGGATGAGTGGCCAAGGAGGGTGTGGGAAGGCACAGGCACAGAGGACGAGCCAACCTCAAGAAGGAAGGAGGGCCCGGCGTGATGGCACAGTGGTTAAGGTCCTCACCTTGCACGCCCGGGATCCCATTTGGGCGCCGGTTCTAATCCCAGCGGCCCTGCTTCCTATCCAGCTCCCTGCCTGTGGCCCGGGAAGGCAGTCGAGGACGGCCCAAAGCTTTGGGACCCTGCACCCACATGGAGACCCGGAAGAGGCTCCTGGCATTGGCTGTTGCGCTCACTTGGGGAATGAATCATCGGATGGAAGATCTTCCTCTCTGTCTCTCCTCTCTGTATATCTGCCTTTCAAATAAAATAAATCTTTTTTTAAAAAAAAAAAAGAAGGAAGGAAATCCTGGCCCTTGCTACAGTGCTAGACTCCCGAGGATGTCAACGCTGGAGATGGATGGTGGTGACAATTGGGTAGTAGCTTGAACGCATTGAATGTCACAGAACCACACACTTGAATGTGGTCAAAATGGCAGATTTACATTATGCATAGTTGACTGCAATAAAAAGTTATTGCTTCACCAACTGGTAGATGGATAAGCAAAATGTGGTATATATCCTTGCAAGGGAAATTGGCTATCAAATGGAATAAAGCAGGAGCAGGTGCTACCTAGCAGTTAAGAAGCCTACATTGCACACTGGAGAGCATCTGTGTTGACTACCCGGGGCCACCCCTAACTCCAGCTTCCAGCTCATGCAGACCTGAAAGGTAGTGGTGATGGCACAGGAACTGGGCTCCTGCCAACCATTTGGGAGACTTTGAGTTCCTGGCCATGGCTTTCGCCCCAGTGCAGCACCAGCCACTGTAGGCACTGGGAAATGAACAAGCAGGTGGGAGGTCTAGCTAAATAGCATTTTGGAGAAGGGCTGAAGCACTGATATGGCTATCACATGGATGACATTTACCAGAGACTGTATACTGGCTGATCTCATTTATACAAAAAGTCTCCAGCTGGCTCATCTATAGAGGCAGGAAGTAGGTTAGTGGTTGTGAGGGGGAGGTGACGGCTAAGGCAAGCAGGGCTTCTCTTTGGGAGTAATGGAAGTGTTCTAGAATTCACTTATAACAGTCAGGGTTTCAACAGGCTCAGGATAAAATGTGCACTCAGCTACGGCTGTTTGCCTGTTTTCCCTTAGGCCTTTTTATAGGAACCCAGCACATCTGCTTATCATGGAGATTTCTCAGAACAAGCACTCATACCCTCCCGGAGAGCTTCTGTCCTGGCTGGCATGTGGAATCGCCAAGGTGGAACAGTGTTGCTGGACCAAGCCTCGTGCAACCTCAAATCCCCAGGAGAGGGAGAGAGAGATTTTGCAAAGATTTTGCCTTTAACTCAAGGGTTTGGAAGTGACCGATTTGTATTCTGAAGGCTCCTCTGGCTACCAGACTGAGAAACAATCTGTTGGGAACAAGGGAAAAGCAACAAGGCCAGACCGCAATGGAAATAATCCACACACCACGTGATGATGGCTGGGAGTGTGGGGTAAAACGCAGCGAGAGTTTTAGATTTTTTTTTTTTTGCGGGCAAAGCCAGAAGGATTTCTGACAAACTAGATATGGGACAAGACAACACATGATTGACTCTCAGGTCCTTTTGTCCCTGAAGCAGGAAGAGCTGAGGAGGGCAGATAAGCAGGAGGTGGGGCCTCCTGGGATGGTAGGAAGAAGGCAAGTGCCAAAGAGGTGGGTGCTGAAGGGCCAACCCCCTGCCGTCACCATGGTGATGAAGGCAGAGGGCAAGGAGAAATGATGGGGCTGCAGGACTCATAGGATCCATGTGAGAGAGCCATGACTAGGGTGTGCCACTTGCCACACCAGTATTCCATGAGTGCCTGTGCTGGCTGCTCTGCTTCCAATTCTCCTCCCTTCTAACGCACCTGGGAAGGCAGCAGAGGACCAGGCAGAGCGCTTGGGCTGCTATACCCACATGGGAGATCCCGAGGGAGCTCCTGGCTCCTGGCTCAGCCCGAAGCTCAATGAAGCACTGGGTGGGAGATCTCTTTTCTTTTCTGTCTCTCCTCTTCTCTCTTGGTCTTTGTCTACCTTTCAAATAAATTGTATCCAGAAAATCCTTATGGGAGCTTGCCTTGTGAAAGCCTATCTGGGATGGGGCTCTGACTAGGGTGCCGGAGGCCAGAATGGCACTGTGGTTCTGTGAGCTGGGCTGGCCTCTAATCTTCCGACTTTGACCTCCAGCCCACGGGGGACTGTGACAGGACAGAGAGAGAGGGGCTCACACTGGTAGTCCCCTTCCCCCCCAAGATCAGGCCCTGTTAGGGTTCACTGTCCAGGATGCCAAGTCTCCTGCAGAACCAGCTGTGCCCACCTCTTGCCCACAGCTCCCTAGTCCCTGCAGACCCTCGCAGACCCCTGGGCTGCTCTGGGTCTCTCCCTCTGCTGGGACAAGGCTCACAGAGCATCCTGTGAGCCCACCACTTGACCTCTGCAGGATCCTGTTTCTCACAGTCACAGTGACCTTTACTTGTCTGCAAGTACAGGGTCAGGATCACACAGAAGGCTGCACGGACACCCCGGCCCTGGCCCACCATCCCCCAGAAGCCAGCAGCACCGCCTTGGCTATGCTGGGACAATTTCTCCTCTGCGCTAGGCAGGTTGTGTCTCGCGTGGGGATGAGAAGGTGCAGACAAGCAGGGCTAACCTTGTGTGTCAACCTCCGCCCGCTGGTACTCAGGACTTACTTAGCTTACTTCCCTGAGTCTGATGAGACTCGAGGTATGGTTGTGAGAAAGGCACAGCTCCCACACAGTCTCTCACCAGTGCTGCTGTGCTTCAGGTCTGGCTTGCATTCACCCATGAAAGGTTTGTGGGCCGGGAGCTGGGTCCCCAATGTGGCAGCGTGGACAATGGTGAACTGCTTCAGAGGGAGCTGAGAGGGTAAAGGCTAGGACTACAAGAGGGATCGTCACTTTGCTCTGGACAAGGTGACCTCCTGGCTGGGTGGGAGCTGTTAAACCAGAGTCTCTCTGGCTTGTTGCCTTGGTCTCTTCTACAAGCCCTCCTGCCACTAGGCTGGCATCCACCATGCCACCCTCACAGGAGCTGAACACACACTCTTAAACCTCAGAACTGTTAGCTAAATCAACCTAAAGTATCTTGTCACAGCAATGTAAAATGGACTAATGCCACTTTATAAAGAATCACACCAATACATGGACACGCATAGATGCTGTTACCACGGACCCTGTGTTTCTTGGAGGTGACAGCATCCGTGAGAATAGTCATTCCTAAGACTTACAAAAAGCACCCTGAAGTGGCAGCTGGAGCTCAGCTCATTTGTGAACTTATACCATCTCTAACTCTATGAGGTTGGACCAACGCCCTCTCCACATTCCAGTCTCTATACGATGGCACGTGAGCTCTCCAGGAGCCCGTGTGCACATGTACGCACCTGCTGTTTGTTCTCTTTGGAGTACGGCAACATGGTGGAGACGTGGAACATGATCTCGTGCCCTTGGTACACCGTGTACACAGAATGGATGCCCGTGGTGTCGTCTGTAAGACACATATGCAAGTGTTGGACAAGGAGAACTCTGAGGCCACGAGGAAACAGCTGTTATTTGCAGGCTGGAGGGAATATGGAGCAAGGTTAGTACATCCTCAGAGATCATTCTGGACTGTCCATCCCAGAAGCAAGGGTGGGTTACCTAAGCATCCATTTTCCACTTGGTGACAGGCTCCTACCCATTTGGGGAGCCCTCCTCTTCTCTCCAGGCTCACTGCTCTCAGATTCAGGACTCACTCAGGATAGAGAAGGTCAGGCATCTGGGCTGCCTTGTTAGGATTCCTTGCCCAGTGGCTGCAGGCATACCACACAGGATTAACAAGCGCAATTCTGATGTCCGTGGAATAAAAAGAGGCAGAACTTCCGGCAGAACAACCCAGAGATGAAAAGCCTGGACTCTGGGCAAGAGTTCGCATCTAACTCCTCATTAGCTCCAGAACTTTTGACAAGTGACTGTGTTTCTCTCTGAACCTCAGCTCCTTCATTAGAAAATGGGGTTTAAAAATAGCACCTGGCTCCTAGGAAGACATTGGAGAGCTCCGGGGGTGGCAGTTGGGGTCACAAGAAAGGCTGAGGGTTGGCCTTGGATGTACTTTTAGGAGTCTCGGACTCTGAGTGTGGAGGGTGTGTCCAGGGGGGATAGCGACCCAGCAGCTGGGGACAAACCCTTCCTGGCTGTGTCTGTCACTTAAGGCACTTCCAGCTGCACCTCTCACACACTATGCACAACCGGCGCACTGATGCCTGGGTGGGCTGCCGAGCAGCTGTGGCTTCCAGCAGCTGTCACACATGGCCTGTCACACATGGCCCAAATGAGTCTCACATTGCCTGCTTGATGTCCCTCCAGGACTGACTGTGCATGTCAAATAGAACAGCTAAAGCAGAAAGAAGTGCAGGAAAAAGCTGGAAAAGCCACATGGATGTTAAGATGGAGAAAGTGATTCCAAATTTTGTGGTCTGGGCCTTCTCCCTGCCCCCTTGCCCGAAATGCTTCCTCTCAGGTAGGTGTGGTCCCACCATCACTGGACGGACACCTTCTCTCCTCTTCACCCTCACTTGCAAGCAGCTGTAGGATCCAGCCAGCGCTGCCTTGGAAATGGCCCTTGCGTTAGCCCACTCTGCCACCCTTCCTTCAGCCAAGGCCACCCGCCTCTGGCTCTTCCTGCCTCCCTTTAGGCCATCTCCCCTGTGCAGATTCGGCTTTCAGGTACAAACCTGATCTAGCCACTCCCTCACTTAAACCCCTTCAATGACATTCAGTTAAATTTAGAACTAAACCCAACATTATAAGGTGACCTCAGACTCCCTGCAGCGTCTGCCCCTCCCAAGTCTCTGGCCCTCCGGCCAGTTTCTAGACCACACCACATTCCCTTCCGCTTCAGGCACTCCACGGATGTCGTCAGAACTTGGAACACTCCTCTTTGCTCCAGAAACAACACTGCCCATTCCTCACTCTCCTGGGACTCCTTCCCGGATCCCCAGATCCAGCCAAATGCCTGCATGACGCCCAGGGTTTCTCTTTTGAGATCCTGCAAGTGCTTAGTACTGAACTGCGGGAACACTGGCTATCTGCCGCCTGGATCGTCCACAGGACAGAGGGGTTTTACAGAGGCAGGGGCCCACACCCACTCATCCACGGTACATGCCCAGAGTTTAGCTCAGCCATGGTGCAATAGGAGAGGTCTCGACAGCAAGCCCAGCCAAGCATCACCTCTGCCAGGGAGACCTTCTGAGAAAGGCATCAGCAGGTGATTTTTGTCAAATGTGGTTGTGACATCACTAGGCCATATATTAAATAGGACCACCATCGTACGTGGGGTCTGGCACCAACGGAAACATCACTGTGTGTGGCACACGATTGTAGTTAAAGGCAGCTCTTGACTCCTGCCACCGCTGGGAGATGTGGGCGGGGGGGGGGGGGTTTGTGAGGGTGGACTTAGGCTTACAGAGCTCAATGGAGGCAGCCCATGTAAAGACCGGTGGCCTGGGTGTGACACTCAGGGCTCCTCCAGGCACGTGTGGTCTCTCTCCCCACTTCCCGTATAAGTGTGAACATGGAAACAACCAGAGCCATGCAGATGACAAGGGAGCGGGTCAAGAGGCATGCTTACTTTTGGTGTCCAGACCACCTCGGTAGCCCGTCCAGCCCTTGAGGGTGATGGTGTCACCCAGGAGTTGTAAGAATTTTTGGAAAGCTTCACTTCCAGTTTCTGCAGGAAGAGGCAAAGTGTGAGGAATGTTCGGGAATCCACAGGTTCTCTTTTCCAAGCATGTGCTGACATCTTGTGACCATTAACCAGTCACTGCCACCACGTGCGGCAGGTAAACAGCACAGAGAGACTCCATTTCCTCCCTTGGAGGGTCGGGGGAAGGGTCTCCATCCAAGACTGGACCCACCTCACCATTGTCAACTTGGGGTTACAGGTGTTCAGCCTTGCAAAGAATGGTCAAAACTGTTACTACTCCCTGAAGTAATAACTAGTAGGTATTTAACATAGAAGAGGGTAGCTACCCAGCATGGGATACCAGCTCACAAGCCTCTCAACCACTTAAAGCAGAGATTGGGCAGAGCCAACTGATTCCAGTCCCTGGGCTTTTCCTCTGGGACTGTACCACCAGAGCCCAGGAAAGCCAGGGAAGCAAGTCACAGAGACAGCAGTCCTCCTGTGCCTGCAGTTTTACGTTCCGTGACATCAATGATCCCAGCTCAATCTCGGTCTGAAAATAGTGCATGGAAATTTCCAGAAAGAGTTTACAAGTTTTGAATGCTTTCTTTAAAATGATAGTGTATGCTTACAGTTGTTTCGTTTTATTGTCACTTATTGTTGTCCGTGTCTTACCGTGACTGATGAGCAAACTAAGCTCCACCATGGATGTGTGTAGGGAGACCAGCATGCGGAGTTTGTCACTCTCCCTGGTTTGGAGAGTCCACTAGCGGGTCAGATCGGATCCCCCGTGGGTCAGAGAGGACTCCTTTGTTTGCCAAGGGAATGAGAATGTGCCACAACCATCCTACAGGGTTTGCACAGCCACCCGGCTCGGTGTTGTTAGCACTGCATCTCGACTGACAGGTTCAAGTTGAGCTTCCCCATGTGCGGCCAGGCGCGTCAGGGTTTCTGGAAGGAGACCATCACTCACCATTGCTGAACATTTCGTCGTCAGTGAGCTGGCCGTCTCTGGCAAAAAGAACCCCAAACTTGAAATTCACAGAGCCCTTATGGTGAGACAACAAAAGATGAGACAGTCAATGTCGTCATCCCATGGGGATGGACCCTGGGCCTCCGCCTGGCTACCCCAGCGTTGACCAATGCTAGCAACAGTCTTTCCTTTTGTTTTTAGCTCACAGGTGAGACTGCTGTTATGTGAGTTCCTGGTGGTATCGTGGGCTGCCAGGCTATTCTGGCCCCAGGAACCTGCAGCACTTGCAGCATCTCCGCATCACTGCCAGGAGCAAGGCGGCCCAAGCCCAGTCAGCAAAGCTGAGCTAATTGTCATTCTAAGCCCAACACAGCGGCCTTGGGCTGATGGCTCGGGACTCTTTTAGAAACAGAAATGGAAATCGTAAGCATTTTATATGAAAAGCTCATTTTCCTTTAGTTCCTAAACATACTTAATCTGAAGAAGTAACAACACAGATGTGCAGGGCGGGAGGGAGGGGAAAGGGAAGGAGAGCGGCAAGCCAAGCACTTGGTAGCTGAGTCTGACTCTAAACCCAATCCCGTGGCAATGACAAACACCAAACAAATGACAAAAGCTTCCATGGGGAAGGAAGGAATGGGGCTGGTGAGTGGGAAACAGGGCCTCCATTGGATCCTGAATATTTTCCTTTTTTTCTAAGTTGGGTGGTATGTTTGTAAATCTTTATTATAGTATTCTCTGCACTTTGGTTGCATGCTGACGTATTTGACAACACCACAAATCTGATGTTGGGTAAAACCATTTGTAATCCCAGCATCCTATAATGGCACTGGTTCTATTTTGGCTGCTCCAACTTCCAATCCAGCTTCCCGCTAAAGCACTGGGAAAAGCTGTGGAAGATTACCCAAGTGCTTGGGCCTCTGCATCCACGTGAGATCCAGAAGAAGCTCCTGGCTTTGGCCTGGCCCAGTCCTGGCTGTTGCTATTATCTGGGGAGTGAAGAATGGATAGACAATTTCTCTCTCTTTTCCTCTCTATCTGTAATTCTGTCTTTCAAATAAATAAGTAAGAAAAATCTGATGTTGGACTCTTGTTTTGCTTGACCCATCACTACCTGGAGGAATTCAGAGTGGTCAGTGAAGGGGCAGACAGGAAACCAGGATGTCTAAAGCACTGACCAGGGGCTTAGGGAGGTTAAGGCATAATGCCTGGATTCAGGATGGTTGGATCTGGGAGAACCGGAAGTCTGAAACTTGTTCAGTCCACAACACACGTGACAGGCGGCCACAGGAGCTGTCCCACAGTTGGGGTGGGGAGGACACTGTTAGATGACCCCTCCACCTGGAACTCTTTCCCACTTCCGCCCTCAGGCGGGCTTTGGCTCAAATGTGTTTACAGAGGGGCCTTTCCTCATTTCTGGAGATCAGGTCCCTCTTGTCTCACTGCTTTTTTCCATCTCAGCACTGCTGTTATTAGAACTCTGCAATCCTTGTGGGTGTGTTAAGGATTTACCTTATTTGAATGGCACGGTGACATAGCAAGAGAGAGACCTTTCATCTGTTGGTTCACTCCCCAGGTGGCCACAATGTCTGGGGCTGGGTCAGGCTGAGCCAGGGACCTGGAACTCTATCCCGGTGTCTGACAGAGGTGTCAGGTGCCCTGGGACTTGGGCCATCTTCCACTGCCTTCCCAGGAGCATGAGCAGGAGCTGGTGTGGGAGCAGGACTTGTACAGGTACACCCAGATGGGATGCCAGTATTGCATCCTAATCCAATGTGCCACAATCTCAGCCCCAGTAATTCTCTTACATTGAGCTTGTATATTTTTAAAGTTTTATTTCCTTATTTTCATTTTATTTGAAAGGCAGAAAGACAAAGGGAGAGAGAGACAGAAAGATCTTACATTTCTAGTTTACTTCCCAAATGCCTGCAGCAGTCTGAAGCCAGGAGCCAGGAGCTCCATCTAGGTCTCCAAAGTGGGTGGCTTGGGCACAAGTACTAGGGTGGCAAGGGCCCAAGTATCTACGATGCGAGACATAGAGACTGGGTTTATGCGGGAGAATTGTCTGACCACATTCTTTTCTGTGGCTTCATGGTATTTCATAATTCCTTCATTTCCCTTGTTGAGCCAACGTTGTCATTGTACCTTCTGTGTGTGCTCTTTTAGGGTCTGAGGCCAAAGTAGTAAATGAAGTTCAGGAAAACCCAGCACCTGGTGCTTGGATTCTTGTTGGGGGGGGACACACAATAAAAAGTGAATAAAAACCCTAGGCTAAGCATCCCTCCCAGGTGCAGGTAGAGAAATGAGGGTGTGAACGCGGTCAGGTGGGGGCCGAAGGCCAGAGAGGCTGTAGGGCCAGCAGGCCCTGGCAGGCTGGGGGAAGGATTATGTATGTACTTTACAGTTAAAAAAAAAAATCTGCTCGCTTATTTGAAAAGCAAAGTGACACAGACAGACCTTTCTTCTGCTGGTTCACCCCTCAAATCATCTCAATAATGGAGGCTGGCCCAAACTGGGAACCCCATCCATGTCTCCCACATAGGTTGCGCAGCCCCAAGGACCTCATAGCAGGGAATGGACTGGAAGTGGAGCAGCAGGGACTCAAATCTGCTTTCTGGAATGGGCTGTTATTTTCACAAGTGGTGGTTTATGCCTTTATATCACAACACCTTCCCCTGAGGCTTGGCTTAGAGGCAGATGAGAAGCCACTGGGGATCTGAACAGAGTGAGGGAGGCCCTGACTGGCCATGCTGCAAAAGGACCACATGATACTAACTGGGAAATAGGCAAGAGGATGAGGTGGGGCTGGGACTGGTGGTAGCAGGGGAAGCAGCATCAGGAGATGAGGTGTGGCCCAGGCCAGCGAGGATGGGGCAGCATCAGCGTGCTGAGTGGTGGCAGTGGGAGGACCGAGATGTGGCTGAATTAGGAACAATTCCGGAGGCAATGTGAATGGAATATGAAGATGCGCGAAATGTAAGGTGTGGGAGAACGAGAGCCCTTGAAGGATTTCCCCAAGCGTGGCCTGAGCAATGGGACAGCTGACCCTGTCCCTGTCATTCACTGGGAGGCATCACTGACTTACCCAGTGGCATACTGATCACATGGGGGACATTTCCCTGAATCACGTGCACAATGTATCAAGGGTGTGCTACTGAACACCAGGGCTTTCGCTGAAGGAAAAGGCAAATGAAGGAAAAGGCAAACCCCATAACCCTCATGACGAAACTCAAGCAGGCTGAGGCCATTTGATGGGTCGTTCAGCTATCTTTATAGCTTGCTGCATGGAAAATCCCAAAGAAGCCCTGCTGGGCTCAGGCCATGCAGGGCCGGGGAAGGGAATCCACTGAAAGGGCCTTGCGCGTGGGCACCGGAGTAGCAAAGTGCTGTGGAGGCAGAGCGCTGTGCTCACATAAGCCAGCAGCATGCTTGGAGCACTCACCTCTTGTTCTTCAAGAACCAGCAAGTCCTGGCAAAGAAAAGTTTTCAAAGTTATACCCATGCTGAGCAGAGAGCATTTCATATCATTTTACTGTGCAAAGCCAAGCTTCAATCTACTCACATAAGTTTTCATGGTTTTTTTTTTCATTGAAACGTTTTGAAAAAAAAAAAAAAGTGAAAAAAAAAAAGAAGCAGCAGCAGCAGCAGGAGGCAAGACTCCTGTCACCTGCCTGCGGCTCACACTCTTCCTTCAGATGTTCCTAAGAGCAGGGAGCCATGTGTTAACAACCTCAGCTTTGGTCCTTAACCAAGTTTGGGAATGAGTCTTTTGGCGAGTGGGATGGGGGTCTCTGCTTCCTTATCCCTGGCCCAAGGACCGACTTCGCCCCATGAGGGTCCCCGTGCAGAGGTAAGAATGCACAGAAGGGTGCAGAGGAAAGAATGGGAAGACCTGTTAAATAACAGAGGTCTGGTCGACCACCAGGCACTTTCTTAGCCTCGGTTACCTGCTAAGAGACTCGTTTTTCCACCAGGCAGAGAAAGCAGCTTCTGGTTGATCGGTGGACACCGCAGCCACACCTCTGGCCTGGAGTGGGTCTAGCAGAGATGAGCTGAGGGGGAGAAGGAAGGGTCCAGGGGACTGGGGCTGCCAGGATGGGGGCAGAGTTGGCTGTAAGAACCTCCCCCTCCCTGTTGTCCAGGGTTCTCTGAGCCCCCTGGAGGGAGGCCTGGTAATTTGAAGAACTACCTGAGACACCTCCAGCTCCACTTTACTTAACAGTGTCTGAATCAGAACTTAGCCATCTTTATCACATTGAATTCTAAGAAGAAGCAGGAGGAGAAGGAGAAAAACAGCCAGTAGGGGACGCAGCTGTTAGATGGCGGTATCTTCACATTTGCATGTGACATGCTTTGTGTTACTAAGTCTCCCCACAGTTCCCTGTGCTCTTCTCAGGCACCCTGATTGCTCCCAGATCACAAAGGTGGGGTGGTGGTGCCTGGGCCAGGGTGCCCTGGCAAGCAGCACATGGCCGGCTTCCTGGCCCAGAAGCCGGAGCTGTGCCGCTGTGTGTCAGACTGAGGAAGCCGGAGGCTGGCCACAGAGGTCTGGCTGAGCCTCTCGGGCTGGCAGCCGGCCCCTTGGCTCTGGCTGGCGGGCCACTGGGCTCAGTCAGTTTGCTCTGTGTTCAGAAGGGACACTCCTGCAACCTGTCCTGGGCTGCCAGTGTCCTGCGGAACACAATCCAGGGATTTAGAATATCCTCGTGCCTGAATTTCGGAGCAGCAGCAAAATCCATTTTATTCCCCAATTAGTAATTTTAGCGCAGAAGGTATCATCCCAGGCAGTAATGGTGTTTCTTAAAACAGTCCCCCCGGAACTGTTTTTGATGGAATTTTCTTTTTTTCCCTCTTCAGATATACAAGACTAGGGACAGAGTGATTTTCCATACACCCAAAAAAAGAATCCAGAAATGCTTTAAAAAATTCAAATTTGTCTCTACAGAGCTTTATAAAATACCTAATCACTTAAGAAAGTTATGCTATACCATTGCTACCTGGAAACAAAGTTGATGGAGAAAAATTGAAACACACAGACACCCAAATTGTTCTGTCCACTTTAAAGCAATCATACATTGCTTCTAGAAAGAGTTTGGTCAAGAAAAAAATGTCACTGTGGTGCAACAGCCAGAGATATTCTTAGCACCAAACGCTCTGCTCTCCGTGGAAAGGTGCCCTGTGATCAAGTTGCTTTATTTTTGGTTTGTTCTTTGGATCCTGTGGTTTCTAAGAACTCTCTCCCCGATGCCTAAAGGCTGGTGCTCAAGGCCTGAAGGCAGCTACAACACTGCGGCTACAGAGTCTACACACACACACAGAGCTCATATGCACACAGCACTCACATACACAGTGCTCACACACACACACACATACACAAACACACCCGGTGCTCACACAGGTATCGCACACAGTGCTCCCATACACACACAGTGCTCACACATGTGAACACACAGCACCCAGAGGGGAAGAAAGCTCACAAACGGTTCCTTGCTAAGCGAAATGTGTCCAAACACAAATGCAGAAAGCATTAAAGTATCTTTTGGGTGATGAACAACAGACTCCCAGGAGAACCATAAGTACGGAGAATGCTGGCGCATCTTTTCTCCTTGCCCTTCTTTTAAAAAAAAATTCTGTACTACAACTGTATTTGAAAAAAAAAAAAAAAGCAGTGGAGGGAGAGAACAGATGGAAAAGAGAGAGGGAGGCATCTTCTACATTCCAGCTCCCTCTCCAGTTCTCACAACAGCCGGGGCTGGGCCTAGCTGAAGCCGGGAGCCTGCAGTGTGATTTGGGTCTCCCATGTGGGCGGCAGAACTGGGTCAGGATTTGAACCTGGGCTGGGATGTCAGCGCTCCAAATGGAGGCCCAGGCGCTGCACTGGATGCCTGCTTCTGGTCCCCAATATATCTTGTGGAGAAGAGAAGGCAAGCTCTGCGGATGGACCCAGCTTAGGAGCAAGAGATGGACAGAGGCCCAGCAGAGGCACTGAGATGGATTTGAGGACTGTGTCTGGAGAGCCGGCTGGTCACACCCAGGTTTGTAGAAGCAAAGGGTTAGGAATGCCAATCTGTGTGCCTCCAACGACTAAGGCCGTGGGGAGGCCACGGTCATGACTCCAAACTTTTTAGGACCACATGGCCTAGTGGCGGTCTCCGTGGTGGCTACACATCAGCATTAAGCAAGGAGCTTGAAAACCACAGAATCCCAGCTCCCCACCCCCTGACACAGTGAGGCAATCTCACGCACGAGGGTCTGCCAGGGCGGAGCGTGTGAAGCCACGCTGGGACACCCTGTCAGTCCTATCCCCCATGCGGTGATGGATACCCTGCAACTATATAACATATGGGTTTATCATTACCTTTTGTATCTCGGGATGAAAAATTTCCCTGGGACCTTTCTCGAATTTGTCCAGATTCATGGCACTGAAAGAGAACAGACAGAATGAGCTGCAGCGGGGTGGAGAGCTGTGTTGTGTGGAGCAGGTCTGAGCTCTGCAGAGAAGCTAAATGACAGCTCCCAGAACACCGCAGCTGGATGCGGGAGGGCCCAGCACGCAGGAGAACAAACCCGCAAGTGGGTGGTAGATGCACGTGCATGCTGGGAGTACCAGAGGGCTCAGGCGTGTCACATGGGTACTAAGAGGGAGAGGGCGGATCAGGAACCCCTGTTACAGGGCACCCTGACTCATCTTCCAGATTCTTTTATTTAATAGAAAAAAATGATGAAATTTAATTAACTTCTAGTTCTTCCTTCCTTGGGCAATTCCTCTGTCACAGAGGGCAAACGTTCACCATGATGCCAATGTCCGCCTTTAAAGGGTGACAGCGGCAAGGACCCAGGCCTGCTGAGCACTTGTCTCAGGCCAGGCGCCCCACGAGGTGCCCGGCACGGAGGATTTCATTTAGTCCCTGAAAGGCAAGGGTTGGGTTATGCTCACTGCAAGGATGAGGAAATGAAGGCTCCGAGGGTGTAACAACCAAAGTTGGTATGGTCAGCAAAAGCCACGATTAGAACTCGGGCTTATCTGTATCCATAGTGTTGCTATTTTAATTTTCTTCTGCAGCTTTCAAGTTCATGCTTGTTCCAAGATAGTGATCTTTTTCCTTGGCCGGCAGCGACCGTAGATATTTTTCATTTTCCACGTCTTTAGAAATGTTGCTTTGGTTTTGGGGGGTGGGGGATGGGAAGCGGGCAAATTACCTCCTATTCATTACATGTCCTTGTCAATAAACATGAAGAAGAGAGGGGGCTGGAACTGCTTCTTTTTAGAGGCGGGTCAGGGGGCTGGGGTCGAGTAGGGATTCACAGAAAGCCAAAGCTGGTAGAATGCAAGATATTATCTCAAGGTAAGTCAAAACAGAGAGCTCTCAATAAAGAGTGAGACAGCCCTGCACTCAAGAAATAAAAAATAATAAGAAAGAGAGGAATCTCTTCAATGTTTTCCTGACTCAGAGGCAGAATGCAGAGCAGAGCGTCAGAAGGCTAAAGGCAGATAGGGCAGGTCAGCAACTGGGAGACCACAGGAAGCTTGGCAACAGGCTACAAAACCTCCTGCCTCTGCACCATGGTGCTGCCTGCCACCCCAGCCTCAGGGTCGAATCTGTCACTCTTTGAGCTGTTTTGGTAAGTATATGCAAAGCCACATTACCTGGGAACACCAGGACATGCTATCAGCTCCTACCCAGTTGCCATTGAGCCCTGCCGGGAGGAAACTGCTGAGACCCTGGAATGAGCTTGGCCAACAGCCCAAACTGAAATCCCATGACCCTTGTGTGGGAATCCCAGCCCATTGGTTTACCAGCTGTGGAATCTTGGTCAAATCCTTCACCTCCTTCCTGCTCCCTGCACCTGCTAAGTGGACTGGGGATGGTGAGGGCTGTAATTGGAAGAGCCAGCTTAAAAACTGACCATTAAACATTCAGCACTGAGCCTGACAGTGAGTACGACCTAACTGGTGGCAAGGCACCAGGCTAGAGCTGAGTGGGTGCTTTCCCCAGGAGAGGCTGGGAAGGGAGGTGGGAAGCTGGGGGGCGTGAGCGGCGGCTGGGTCGGGAGCAGTCAGATGTTCTATTCAACTCCACGTTCTGTTTTGGTGAAGAATGAGTGCGTTCTTCCTAGAGGAAGCTTTGCTGACATCTGGGTTTCTATTTCAAAGCAGAAACTTGAAAGTATCTCTTGATTTTCTTCATAAAGCCAAAGTGTGGGAGTGAATGCTGTGAAAAACCAGCAGATGCCCACTGCAGTAGGGAGAGGTGCTTATGGGCTTCACTGGGCATCAGCCCAACCAGGACTGGGGTCTCAGGCCTGACACACAACAAGCTCTGTACTCTTTCTTACAACCTCCATTTCCTCGTCTATGAACTGGGGCAGGGGCAGCGACAGGACTGCTTGCCTTCTGGGGCTGCTGTGAAGGTTCCACGAGGTAGTGCACATCAAGGGCCAGGCACAGGGTCTGCATGCAATGAAGGTTCGAGAACATGGAGAGCTGACATCAGAACGACCATGCAAAGGCAGGGTGCAGAGGCCTCCAAGGTGGGGCGTGCTCACCTTAAGATGGACTTCACAGACAGGGTTTTTGTGGGGCTGTAGGGCAGGCATATTTTCTGGGTACCCTGAAAAAGAGAAAACACCAAGTCAGTGAGGGGAACATACTTCACTGGGGAAAGTCTTGCTTAGACCTTCTTCTAGCATCTTCCACCGGTCCCTCTCTCCCCAGTATTTATGGAACCAAGGGTGACTCTCCAATATCTGGGTGTTTGCTGTGTTGGGAATTATAGGGAGTCAAGGGGGAGGGAAGGTGTGGTCCCTAAGATTCAGAGAAGCCTCCAAGACCCCCCAAAAAAGTCTCCACGCATTCAGTGGGAGCTACATGTAATGCCTCCAAGTCAAACACTTTCTGACTACGCATCACCTGAATCTAGAGGGATTTCCGAGTGTGCACCGCTCTGTTTGTGGCTTTTGCTGAAGGTGCATTTGCTCCCAGTTCTGTGTGTGCTTCCCGTGACTAACTCCAGGAAGTACCCAGGGAGCACGCATCGACTGCAAAGGGCCCTGAGAACAGAACCTCCCAAATGACACAGCCCGCACTCCAGCCACCTGGGACAGGACGTGCTGTTCTGCTGATTTAGAATCTACCGAGGATTTAAACTGCATGGTTTACAAAAAGGATGATCACGGTGGCACACACATAAAACTCTCTTCCTAAGTTTGGTTAATCATAAAGTTGGCATCGCAGATAACCAGGGAAGGGTCTGGACGCCTCTCACGGGAAGTGGCAGACAAGAAAGTAGGACTTAGGGGGTGGGGCTAGTGTTGTGGACTAGCGGGTAAAGCTGCTGCCTGCAATGCTGGCATCCCATATGGATGCTGATTCATGTCCAGGTTGCTCCATTTCCCATCCAGCTTCCTGATAATGTACCTGGGAAAGGCAATGGAAGATGACCCAAGTGCTTGGGTCCCTGCTCCTGACACCTGCTTGGGAGACCAGGATGAAGCTCCTGGGACCTGACTGCAGTCTGTTACAGCTGTTACAGCCATCTGAGGGAATGCACCAGAGGATGGAAGATCTCTCTGTCTCTCTTCTCTCTAACTCAGCTTTACGTATTAATACATAAAAATCTTTAAAAAAAAAAAGGAAGGATATCTCTCCTGTTTTGGCTGCAGGGACTGGGCTCCAGGAGGAAGGCAGAGCTTCTGTGAGACTCTGAGAGGAGCTGAGACCTGAGATTGGTCACAGAGTGACTACCTAAGCAGCAAACAGGTGCACGCGGGTGTCAGGGGCGGTGCCTTCCCACCCAAGAGTCAGATTGGCTCAGTGGTCAAACAACAAACAAACCCACGTTTAAAAAGTAGGGCCAGAGCACAGCCCGCCTGGTGCAGGAGACAAGGGGCTCTGGACCAAGGCACTGGGGAGGGATGAGCAAGGACTGTGATGTGTGTGCACTCGAGAGAAAAGGCATGCAGTCCTCCACCGCGATCTCCCAAAGCTTGTCTGTGAACTTGGCCCTCAGGAGAACTGGGCTGTTAGTAGGACTGACCCCAACCACAGAGACACGGGAAAGCGGGGAACGCCAACATTTCTCTGCAGGAAATAATTTCACACATAAGACTTCACATCAAATAGGTATTTTTACCTTTAAAGTTGCTTTAAAGATAAAAACCAAAAAGCCCCCCAAAAAACAAAAACCAAAACCCTGAGGCATACCATGGAAATGTTTAGGAATGGAGGGTAAGCTGGACTTGGGTGTCACTTGTTAATTCATTCAACAAGGTGTTAACCACGCTTTCTCTGTGTGCCAGGCGTAGCACCGGGTGGCAGGGATGTGAGGGCACGAGAGGCATGTTCCTGATTCTTTGGAGCGCACAGACTCCTGGGAGAAGGCTGACATGCACACCTGGTTTTAGCCAGAGGGCATGACCCGGTTACACACACCTGGGTTTTCTTGGTCCCTGACACTGGCATGGCGTCTCAGCCATGTCATGTGACAGCACTGAGTCCATGCATTCGTAGGACTGAGTATCATTCTTGGCATGTAGCAAGTACTCAATAAACACTAGATATTATTGTTATGACTATTTTAGGTCATTATATAGTATAGTGATCCCTGCAAATTCTTTCTGGGTAATTTTTTTGAAGTTGTGTGAAAATGCATGCGTATGGATATGAATACACATTTGTATATATGTAAATGTATTTCATATACACCAAATAACTGTATGTGCAAAGTTTCCGTATTATTTCTAGAAATAGTTACCTAGCAAATTTTTTTCTTTTTTGGCATACTGTGGAGCTGACATTGAAACCAGCAGTGTGCTTATTTAAATACTGTCAACAACCATCCCGGGGAGTCAGACCACCGACTGCAGGACCAGCAGTTTCAAAGACTGGCTTACTAGACTGTTTTAAAATCGTGCTCTGTCCTCACCAATTCGAGGGGGAACCACAGTATGCTTCAGGCACTTTGGGATTTGATGAGCTGGGGCACAGGCAAGATCTCATTTAGGAGAAGAACTTTAACCCCCCACCTCACCCCACATGCTGTGTGCGTGGCCCGCTGCTTTCCCCACACCACAAAGATGAAAACGGGCGCTCACAGGGCTCCAGTGGTTCTCTCCAACTCACACAGAAGGAGTCTGTTACGGCCTGTGATCTGCTTGCCCCAGGCCCTCCGTTCTCTCCAGGGCCCTACACTACCTAAAAACTCTCCAGTGTAAGAAAAGAGGGCAGGGGGAAACCAAGAGAAGAAAATGATGATGGTGGGGAGGAAAATATAAGAGTCACCCAGAAAAGAAGGAGAAAAAGCAACAGTGACATAATGAAGCCGACGGCCCTGGGCTGCGCAGACCTGCCCCTGGGAGCTGAAACGGGCTTTGAGCTCAGTGCTCAGAGCCCACCAGGGTGGTGGGCAGCTGTCTTGCTAAGTCTTGAGCTGCTTTTCTACTCTGAGGGACTGACAAGAGGGGCTTGGCCTGCAATGTGGCTGCTGCAGTGGCTCCTGGAGACAGGCGCCAGTGGGGTTGTCGCCACGAGTGTGAAGGTATTTCTGCACTGATGTTGCCTCTTGTAGGAGAAGGTGAGCCTATTCATAGTTTCCAGCATTGGAGGCCATAGAAGACAATGCACAAAGACCCTCTGAAAATTCAGGGTGATATTCCTGAAGGCCAAGGATGGAGGGGGGCGTGGCCACAACTGACAGGCAGCAGCTGCTGGAATTCAGAGTGGGGTGGTCTCATCTCCCAAGGAAGTGGTCCTGGGATAGTAGAGAGAAAGGCTTCCTTGAGCCGCTTGGCTGATGCTTCTGATTCAATTCTGCAAGGGTGACTCTAGTCAGATACTCACTGTTTTCCTCCAGAGGATTGCCCGGTATTGAGGGACGCGCTGGTTGTTCTGGTCAGAGAGAGTCACAGACAAGAAAAAGGGGCTCTTCTCTGCATCGTTTCCAATGTAATTCTGGTGGACTGAAAAAAGAGAGAGGCTTGCAACAGCTAATGTGATGGAGTGTCTCCGTCATGGACAACTGCAGATGCTACAGGTGCCACCTCCCGGCCCTTCCCCAGCCTGGCTTGGGCTCGAACTGTAACCCTCTCTGCTAATCTTGCACCCCTCCTTGTCAGTGACCGTGAACGTGTGGCCACGTTCTGGGCCATGAAACAGGAGGGGAAAATCTGCCAGGGGCTTCTGGGAAGGCTTCCTCATGCCTGCATGACGTGTTTGGCAGCGATGTCAGGATTGTTACAACCATCTTGTGACCCTGAGGAGGGCCAAGCGTGCCATACCAGAGCTGGAGAAGCAGGAAGAGGGAAAGGGCTTGGGTGCCCAACATCGCACGGAGCCCCTGAATGCACCGACTTCGAGCCTGCCCTCCGTCTGGGTTTCCTGCTCTGTCCCTTATTGCTGAAGCTACTGTGGGTCAGACTTGCTGTAAAGTCTTCACTGCTCTAGGCCCAGGCTTGTAAAGCATTTGGGGAGAAGATGATTTGCCTGCTGGGTTCTTCCCTTTATAAACGTTCCTGGACTTCCCCACTTACCTGAATAAATTCTGCCTCGTCACATCTGTATGAACTTGGAACAATGTAATTTGACTTTCAAATGAAGTATTGTTTATTTGAAAGGCAGAGAGGCACACACAAAAGACAGCGAGAGTAAGAGCAAAGGAGAGAATCTCCCATTCACTGGCAATAGAGAGGCTGGGCTAGACTAAGCCAGCCAGGAGCTCATTCCTGGTCTCCCATGTGGCACAGGCACCCAGTGACTTGAGTCATCACCACTGCTAAGAGGGAGCAGTGCTGGGGACTGAACCCAGGTCCTCTGACGGCTGGCGTGAGAGTCTTGGCATGAGTCTCAAGGTGCATCTTAAACCTCCCGCCAAACCAGAGCTTTGGAGAGACGTCATTTAGGTCAGTGCTCTCATGGTGTGCTCCACCATCGCATCTTCTACAAAAGATGGCATTTGCCCTTTTTAAACTTCCATTCCTGAAATGCTCTGTCACCGACCACACTCCTGTTTGTCACCTTCCCGTGTGTGTTCACATGAGCGGGTCACCTCCAAGGCGCATGGCTGTTTACGACAGAGCCCATCCTTGGAGCCAGATGCTGAACTTGGTTTCATCCTGGCACAATCTCACTGAGACTTCTGTTCAACCAGGGAGACCCTTACTTTGCAAACTGGGAACCAAACCTCCATGGCAGGTGCCAGGGAGGCCCTCACATTGCAGACAGGGGACCTGAGACTCAGAAAGGGGAGAGTAACAAGCGTAAGTTCCTGGGCTTTGTAACAGCAGACCCAGGTGAGAATTCTTTGGGCTCCTGGGGGCAGGGATGAGGACCGCCTTGACACTGCACCCACTACTCTGAGTGTGGCCTGGAATCTAGGAGCTGCTGATACATAAATCCTTGTCACTGATGAATGAATCATGGCAGAAGCTAATGTCTTGCTGGGGGAACCATCTCTGTCTCTCATTTCGGTTAACCAGTGTTCAAAACCCATTACAGACAGGCCCTTAGCCTTGCTCATTTGACTTACTTCACAAATCACTTATTCTCTACTCTCTTCTAACTTTCCTAAGATTAAAAAAAAAGTGATCAAAAAACAAAAGCCCAACCAATCAACTAAAACAACAGCCCCACCCTTCAAAATGACAAACAGGGCCCAGTGCGATAGTGTAGTGGTTAAAGTTCTTGCCTTTCACCCGTGCCAGGATCCCATATGGTCGCCAGTTCTAATCCCTGCAGCCCTGCTTCCCATCCAGCTCCCTGCTTGTGGCTTGGGAAGGCAGTTGAGGATGGCCCAAGGCCTTGGGACCCTGCACCTGCGTGGGAGACCCGGAAGAGGTTCCTGGCTCCTGGCTTCAGATTGGCTCAGCTCCAGCCTTTGCGGTCACTTGGGGAGTGAACCATTGAATGGAAGATCTTCCTCTCTTTCTCTCCTCTCTGTATATCTGCCTTTCCAATAAAAATAAATAAATCTTTTTTAAAAAAATGATAAGCAATGTCTTAGGCTAGGGCTTGGACTTTGATGGCTGGATTTACAAAGCTCGCAGATGACCCTAAATTGCTAGGGTCCCTTTCCTCCAAGGCACCAGAAGTCACACCATCACCCATTTCCGTTTCGGACACCCTTTCTTCCCCACCGCCACCATGGCAATAATTACCTTGTCCTAAAAAATACTTGAAGTACCATCGGGTATGGTATTCTGGGTTCTCCAAGTGCACATCCGTTCTTCGCCAAGTGCCTGGCAGCGCAGCCGTGTTCTGTAAGGGAACAGGGTTTGTGCTGTGAGGGGCGTGTCCAGGAGGTAAACTAGGACCAGGCCAAGAACTGAGGCCAAAGAGCATCCGCCCCACGACTGTAACCACACGCTCCGTTGAGGAGACACAGCCTCAATCGGTGCCTCCTTGGAATCTTCTAGAGGTCCAAAGGTTGTACGGTAAGAGGACCATGGGACTGGGGGGCTCAGCTGTCCGACTCAAGGAGCCAGTCTGGGGGAGGTTTCTACCTAGTTGGCAGTTACCATGCCCTCTAGAGGCACATTTTCTATATGCTGCTACCTTTACTATTTTTTTGCCTAGAGTGCATCTTGGCAACATCTTGACTTTGTAGAATTAAATCATAAAAATCAGCCAATGAACATGAAAAATCTGGATAACTATCAATAATATGGTACATTAGCAGGAAGCTGGATTGGAAGCAGAGTGTCTGGGACTCCAACCAGCGCTCATCTGGAAGGCCGGCGTCTCAGGTGATGGCTTAGCTCTCTGAGTCATAGTTGGCCACCTGTATCCTTTTCATATACTTGTGGATTTCAAAACAATCTAGGTCTCATGTCTGCCGGTGAGATGGACCTGCCACGCTGTTGGGGTCATGCCACCTTAGAAAGTGAGTTAGGATGCTTTCCGTCTTTTGTGGCAGCTTGGGAACTCAGAGCACTAGCCTGTGCATTTTCTCCAGCGCCACCTCCACCAGCTTTCTGAAATGCTTTCTATTTTAGCCCTTCTCATTTGGATGAGGAAACTGCAGCTTGGAGAATTTCACACGCTGCCTGAGATGACAGAGGTATCAGGCCGGGAGTCAGCGAGGCGGGGGTGAGTGGGTGGGGAACACGGGATGGATGCTGCTTCCATTTCCAGAGGTGTTTTCTCTTTTCCTTTTATATCTTAACCATGACATCATCTTCTGTCTTTTTTTTTTTTTAAATGTCTTGCCTTTACAACCTTTTGAACAGTAAAGGTATAGCTTAAAATTTCTTAGTATTACAGGCTTTTAAAATAGTTTACTCTCTGAATTTTTAAATACCAACTATTGCTTCACATACTTCAACATTCATTTAGAAATGCTTTTAAATTTATGAGTATGTAAAAGCTACAGGCATAAGAACAGTGCAGGGAGGGCCCAGCGGTGTGGCCTAGTGGCTAAAGTCCTTGCCTTGAAAGTGCCAGGATCCCATCTGGGCGCCAGTTCTAATCCCGGCAGCTCCACTTCCCATCCAGCTCCCTGCTTGTGGCCTGGGAAAGCAGTCGAGGATGACCCAAAGCCTTGGGACCCTGCACCCCTGTGGGAGACCTGGAGGAAGTTCCTGGCTCCTAGCTTCAGATCAGCACAGCACCAGCCATTGGGGTCACTTGGGGAGTGAATAATCGGACAGAAGATCTTCTCTGTCTCTCCTTCTCTCTGCATATCTGCCTTTCCAATAAAAATAAATAAATCTTAAAAAAAAGAGAACAGTGCAGGGAACACCTGTGTATCCTTTGCCAGATTCACCTGCTATTACTGTGTTACCCCAATTTTGTGTTTACTTCCTTCCCACACACACACACACACCTTTTTTATGAACCATTTAATCCCCAGGTGCATAAACAATAGGATTTTATTCCTACATACTTCAGTGTGCATTCCCCAAGAATCTGAATATTCTATTACATAAACACAATTTTCACACAGTTTTATCACTTTAAAAAAAAGATTACACAAAGAATATCACCATCTGGATCCCGATGTTGTCAACCACTCAACAGTGTTCAAGGTGTCTTCCTCTTTGGAATGGAATCATCTCATCATCACGCCTGCAGAGTCCCTTCATTTGGGACATTTCACAAAGTCCTTGTCTTTGAGGACAAAGACATTTCCGAAGAGTGTGGTGTTTCTCCACGATTAGATTCTGGGGAGGTCTGTCTGTTGGGAAGGCTTCTCCTTGACCCATTCCAGATCACGACCTGCTGACTTTCATCACCCAGCCATGATGCTGTCCCCAAGGTTTGACCTGCTGGTGTGACTCAAGAGAAGCACACGTCAGGATTTTGCTCCCTGCAGGATTGCTGCATGTGCCATGCTCAACAGTCATTCATTTCACAACTGAGTCACCCCAGCGGTGCTCCTGGTCCATGACATCCCAACACCACGCTGCCAGACAGCATGCAGCTCGGGCAGGAACCCTGGGGTCCACCAGCCAGTTTTAGGCATCTGTTGGCCATACACAAGGTGGCAGAGAGGCCAGCCTAAGAAACTGGTCTTAGCCTGTCAGATTGCATGGTTGTGGTGGTTAAGGTCCCGAGGTTCTGGATCCTGCAAAGCTGCTGCCGAGTCTGCAAGTGGAGTTCTTACTACCCCAGCATGTGGAAACCTTGGGAGCTGCTGAGACATGCACAGCACAGACAGAACCACTTCAACTGGCAGATCTTAGCCCAGCACTTCTCAAATTTGTTAAACTATGCATTCTTGTAGATCTCTGTCTCCTTGGGGGCTCTCTGGGTAGGGCCCCAGACTCTGCATTTTTCTTTAAAGATTTATTTATTTTTTGAAACTCAAAGTTACAGAGAAAAGAGAGAATCTTCTATCCCTTGGTTCAGTCCTCAGGCATCTACAGCTGCCAGCCTTATGCCAGGCTAAATTCTGGAGTTGGAGCTCCATCTGGGTCTCCCACATGGGCAGCAGGGACCAAACTCTTGGGTCATCTTCTGTTGTATTTTTCTTAGACTATTAGCAGGAAGCTGGATCAGAAATGGAGCAGCCGGGACATGAATCAGTGCCCAGATGGGATGCCCGCATCACAGTTTGTGGCTTTATGTGTTATGCCACAATGTGGGCCCCTAGAATCTGCATTTAGCAAGCATCCAGCTGCTTCTGGTAAACATGGACTTGGAGAATCAATGCTCTGGGCAAGCTTTTAAAGGAATCCAGGGCAGAGGAAGGGATCAGGAATGTGGATAAAAACAGAATACCTGTCTTTATTTTCCCTAGCTAGGACTCAGTATTTCATTCTGTCATGAGTACAGGCGAGAACCATGGGAGAACAAACAGTTCTACTAACTGTGCTACATCCAACACATAAAGAGAGCAAGAGAGAAAGTGGCAAAAGATCACAGACATTTTCAAAACCTGTCTAGTGACTGGAGATACCGAGAGACACTGCTTCTGTTGTAGATTACACAGGAGCTGTGGGACCTGCCTCCAGGCTGCTTACACCTGTTGAATTAGTCATCACCTGGATTACTACATGATAAATTAGGCTTAAAAGTTGGTTTGACAATTCTGTCTCTTTTAAAAGATTTTTTTTTTTTATTGGAAAGGCAGACCAGATTTATAGAGAGGAGAGACAGAGAGAAAAACCTGTCCACCGGTTCATTTCCCAAATAGTTGCAATAGCTGAAGGTGAGCTGATCTGCAGCCAACAGCCAGGAGCCTCCTCTGGGTCTCCCATGTGACTATAGGGTCCCAAGGCTTTGGGCTATCCTCTGTAGCTTTCCCAGGTCAGGAGCAGGGAGCTGGAAGGGAAGTGGAGCCACCGGCACATGAATCGGCGTCCATATGGAATTATGGCGCATGCCATGTGAGCATTTAGCCACTGGGTCATTGTGCCAGGCCTGATAACTCTCAATACAGCTCTTCGTGATCCTATATATTTTGTCTTATGCATTTATGAACAGTATTCCACGAAGGAAGTCTACTGGCTTTTTCAGGTTCTGCACAGAAAACCTCGCTCTAGGCTCCTGAAGGCCCTGAGCCTGCCCTCCCCGTGGCTGGCCCCTGGAGTGGACTGCTTTATGGAGGGGCGAGGTACAGCTGGCATCTCAGAGGCCAGGCTGGCTCTCAGGGCCATGCAACACCTTGAGTTACTTCCTCAGTAGTTCAAAACTTATCAACTTAAATGCTGTCTTCACTGAACACTTAGCTGAAGTGGAGGGGAAAAAATAATGAAAAAAAAACACACTATGAAAGCTGTGAGGCGTGACACTTCCTTCCCTTTGTTAAAATCAAGCATGACAATGTGCAAAGGCAAAAATATGCACAGGAAATGACAAGGGAAAATGCACAGGCCAAGCCCCGAGCCTCCTCTGTCCAGTTTCCCAGAGCAGCTCAGCTCTGGAAGGACCTGCATCTGGCAGGAGGAGACAGTGATGGGCACAAACACAGGGGCAGCGTACAGGTCATCTTCCACGCATTCCTCCCAGTGCCCACTGCTGGGATCAGGCTAGGAAGTAACTTCAGTAGCTTGGAAGGTTTGCTTGCTCCCTTTCTCACTCATTGCCCAATCACATCCCCCAAGGTAATCACTCACTTGTACCACTGTGGGTTAGTTTTGCCTCCTCTTGAGCTTCATGGAGATCAAATCGCCTTGTAGGGAGCATTTGAGTTGGAGTCTGCAGTTGATGGACAATCAGACCGTGGCCAGTTTTTGACTGCTAAGGATAAGGCTAGTACAAACATTCTGGGGTTGACATTTTGTCCAACGCAAGCTCTCATTTCTGGTGGGTCACATCATAGGACACCAAGAATAAGTACATCCAAAAAATATTTATTTATTTATTTATTTATTTATTATTGGAAAGGCAGATATACAGAGAAGAGGAGAGACAGAGAGAAAGATCTTCTGTCCCCTGATTCACTCCCCAAGTGGCTGCAATGGCCAGAGCTGAGCCAATCCAAAGCCTGGAGTCAGGAACCAGCAACCAGCGGTTTCTTCTGGGTCTCCCATGAGGGTGCAAGGTCCCCAATCTTTGGGCCATGCTTGACTGCTTTCCCAGGCCACAAGCAGGGAGCTGGATGGGAAGTGGGACTGCCAGAACATGAACCAACGCCCATATGGGTTCTCAGTGCATGCAAGGTGAGGATCTTAGCCACTAGGCTACTGTGCTGGGCCCTACAATTTAATACATGGCTTTGGAAGAGGTTGCACCAGTGTATCTGCCTGTCAGCAATACATAATACATGAGAATTCTGATTGCCTCACATCTGCTGAGAAAACTTAGTGTTTCAG